TCAAGGAGGAGTGGCGGCCGAAGCAGCAGGTTGCTAAGCCTACAGGGAAGAAGGGTGGAGACCACTACGAGCTAGTCCCACCTCCTGCACCACGACCACCCTGGCCGTCCGGGTACTCACTCGCCTGCATCTTGCCGGATAGCCAGGTCGAGCTGACCGATGATGGTGGTCGCATCCGTCGGGTGCATGGCCACAACCTGAAGCTGTACCTCAAGAGCGACGTGGATCCGCTCTTGGAGGCACCTGTTCCTTCACTTCCCTGAGTATCCCCCATGGACGTCCAGCTAAAAGACGGTAAAGAAGCGCTTGTGGGGAGGCAACCCCACCACGGTTTGTCTTTCTTTCTTATGTTTTGAGTCGGATTGTAAACCGGTTTGGTTTTGGTTTGTTTCTTTTGTTTTGGATGATGTATTATTGGGCTGACCATTGGACCTAACATATTGTGTTTGAGCTCTTTGGTTTTCTTTAGCTGTGCTTGTCTTGACTGGTCCTCTCTCCAGTCCGCTTCACTCCGACTGGTCCGCTTCCAGTCCCCTGCAGTCCGTGCATACCGGTAACATCGTTCCCCTTTTCCTTCCCTCTTCTCCATTGAGGGCAATGTCGATCTTAAGTGTGGGGGGATGTTTATCTTTTGACTTTTGACTGCATTAGATCTGTTTGTGTGCTTGGAGCCTAGTCCACTGTCCAAATTTTTAAATTTGAGGGCTCCAAGTACGTGTTCCTTGTAATTTCCTGCTCAGTATGCTTTGAATTGACAGTCTTTATAGTAATATGCAACCTAGGGAGGTAGTGTAGCACTATGGAGGATGTTGATGCATTTAAGAAGTCTCATTTCTTCTTCATATTGTGTTGGTTGATTGAGTGAATTAGTGATCTTAGGACCACTGAATTGTGTGGTGTTGTGGACTCTCTACCTGTCATGGACTCTTGTTTCATGTTTCGAGCATTAAATGTGCTTTGGAATAACGTCTCCCATGCGAATAGGGCGAAAGTGTGTAAGGGGAGACGGGAATTCGTTCCCAATTTCCACCTACTACCTCCAGCCCCCTTACATGTCTTTCCCCTGCACGAGGCTCGAGACATCCGTTCTTGGCATGGCCGGTAAGAGCAGGTTGGGACCCTTGAAAAAAAAAATAACAGAAAACAAGCAAAACAGAAAGAAAAGGGGTTCCAACCATCTTCAAGAAGAAAATAGAGCACCTTGAATAATGTGAGTCCATGATCCTTTGTCTTGAGAATCTCTTCATCCACGATTCATTTGTCCTCTGTTCACTATTTGCCATGATGCCGACTCGATATTAGAGCTCTCGCCGAAGAAGCTATGAGATGACTTGTGCGTCGGTTGACCTCGTAAGTTGCTAAATGATCTAGGAAGTCCTCTACCTAGGATATGGGTTGTTTGTTGCTATAGAGGTCTGGAGAGTTGCATTGGTTTGAGTTAGGTTTGCTTGGGGACAAGCAAACGGTTAAGTGTGGGGGAATTTGATAACGATGTAATTGCACCCCTAATTCATATCCGTTTGAGAGGCATAGTCGTGTATTTTGGCCTATTTTACGTCGGGTTGTGCTATTTTGTCATATTTCAGGTCCCAGGCGTCAAAGGAAAGGCTAAGCACGAGTTTCGGGGCATTCGGAAGTCATTTCGTCAAGCTGGAGCCAAAACACGGGCAGACCTAAAACAGAACACGGCCGTGTTCTGTGGCCGTGCTTTTACTGCCGAGAGCAAATTCGATTTGGCAAACATTGGCTAAAAACACGGGCTGAAAGCACGGCCGTGTTCTCCCAAAGCACGGCCGTGTTTCTCCCAACACAATGGCCGTGTAATTAACCCTAGCCAAAGCACGGGCGGGCTGAGGCATTACACGGCCGTGCCCTCGACCGTGCTTTGGCCACTGATGCCCTTTTAAGCAGATTTCAGCCAAAACAGAAGGGGATTCAAGTTTTGAGAGAGATAGAGAGATTCCTAGAGAGAGAAACAAGAGTCTCCAAGTGCCCTAGCTTGATCTTCAACACCATTGGAGGCCAGTTTGAGCTTGGAGAAGTGTCGATCAACGTCCAGGAGCAGGAATCCATCCTTCACAGTATGAATTCCGCGTCTGATTCTGCTTTTGCTTCTTTCTCCATGGAGTAGTTCTCCCATTCATCTGGGTATGGAGAACCCTAGATTTGTATGCTAGGCTTTGATTGTATGAACCCAAGTACTGATTCTATGATTTGATTATATTCGATTGAGGTTTGAATGATTGAATGACTTGAATCCTGATCAAATTCCTGTTGTTTCTGCTTTAACCTAGAATGAGAATATCTGCCTAGGTTGATAAAGCATCCTTGATTGAAGGTAGGGAGTTGATGACTTTAGTCGGGGAGCCAACTCACTATTCTGTACCGGATTTACTCCGGTAGAGGAGATTTTGTTTGTTAAGGCCTCAATCTGTTTACTCCGGTGGAGGTTAGTCGCCCGCTAGAGACTCATATTGAGAGGGTCTGAAGACCTCTAGTCGAGACTTCAGGCTGTTTAAGAACCTTCCGCGGTATAACTATCATAGAAACTGAACTTGGTAATTACGATCCGGCTTAACTGCAGTCTAGGGGGAACCATATCCGGGTGACCTCTCTTAACCTAAATACAACAGTTTACTTGCTTTGTTAGTTTGTTAGTTTAGACTTTCATTAAAGTTTCATTGCTAGATAACAAGAATTCACCGAGTAGTCATCAAATCTAGGACCCGGGTTGATAATTAAACCTAAACCCGCTATACTACGCTTTAGAAAGTGGTTTCACTTGGCCAATTCCTGGAGTGACAGTAGAAGTGAGTCAGAGCACTTCTATGGATGATGAGATTGATGCATTAGAAGCTCAACACACGTCGGATGTGGTGCCTCGGGTTCCCAATATTCCTGTCATTGGCAGTCGATGGGTCTACACAATAAAAATGCGACCAGATGGCTCTATTGAACGATTCAAGTCCCGGGTTGTTGCTCAAGGTTTTAAGCAGGAGTATGGGATTGATTTCGAGGAAACCTTTTCTCTGGTTGCTAAGATGCAGACTGTTCGGAGTTTGTTTGTTGTTGCTGCTATGAAGAACTAGTCTATTCTTCAGTTTGACATGAAAAATGCTTTTCTGCATGGTGATTTGAAAGAAACGATTTACATGGAGTGTCCAGCAGGATACTCAAAGGAGGGCCGGATGTTGTCTGCAAACTTAGGCATTCATTGAATGGATTAAAGCAAGCACCACGGGCGTGGTTCGAAAAATTTCATTGTACCATAATTCAGGCGGGTTTTCTACAGAGTCAGAACGATCCTTCCATGTTTACACGTAATGATGTTCATGGATTGACTGTTTTGCTACTATATGTGGATGGCATGATTGTTACAGGAAGTGATAGTGACGGAATTCGGGAGTTGACAGCCAGTTTACATTCGGCATTTAAGCTAAAAGAGCTTGGGGAAGTTTCTTACTTTCTTGGCTTGGAGGTGAGTAGATCTGCAGCAGGCTTACATGTTAGTCAGAAGAAGTACATTAATGATCTCCTTGATGCTACTGGTTTTAGCTCGTGTCGTCCCTGCAGCACCCCGATGGAACAGAACCTGAAACTCAGCAGGGAGAGTGGTGAATTATTGGAGGATCAAAGCTTCTATCGCAGTGTGGTAGGAAGCTTGATTTACCTTACTCATACCCGTCCTGATATTGCCTATGCAGTACAAGTGGTTAGTCAGTTTACTGGTTTTGCTCGCACAGCTCATCTTGATGCAGTTCACAGGTTACTTCATTATTTGAAGCATACTTCGGAATTAGGCTTGTTCTTTCCTAGTGATGGAACCCCGGAAATTGAAGCATTCGCATATGCTGACTATGCAAGCTGTTTGGACACTAGACGATCAACTTCTGGATGGTGTATTCGCATTGGCCGATCTTTTGTGTCATGGAGGTGTAGGAAACAAGATAAAGTGTCCAAATCTTCCACAGAAGCAGAATATCGATCGATGTCTGAAGTTAGCTCTGAGATGGTGTGGTTACAGAGGTTGTTTCTTGAGTTGGGAGTCACGTGCGAGCTGCCTATGAGAATATATGGTGATAATACGAGTGCTATACAGATAGCAAATAATCTTGTGCTGCATGACAGGACAAAGCACATTGAGGTACATGTTCACTACATCGGGCAGTTGGTTGAAGAAGGGGTGGTCCAACTGAGTTACTTGAAGACTGAGGAGCAGACTGCTGATTTGTTGACTAAGGTTGTGTCCTCAAGTAGACATTGTTATCTATCTTCCAAATTGATGTTAAGATCTCAACATCAATTTGAGGGAGGGTGTTAATTGTGTATTATTTAGGTACCAATGTGTAATTATGTATTTAGGGTTTGTTCTACCAAACCATTATATATACTCCTGTAACTCTCGTATGAAGTAACTAATATGAAAAGCCTAAAACCTGAGAGGGAGATCCTCTCCATGGACTAGTGTCACATTGACGAAACCACGTTAAAAAAGCTTTGGTGTTCTTTCGATTTCAGTTTTTATGAGTTTAATTGACCGCACTACAAAATTGGGCGACTATGGGGACTATCATAGGGGACAACTATGAGCTTTAGTCTTCAGAAATAAAATCTCAAGTTAAATTAGGGACAATTGGGGGAAGGGTGCAGATTGCTGCATTGAAGCTTCTGGCTTCTACACCTGTACGTGTCGAGGGTTTGATTACACGAAGTTCATTATTTGGAAGGCATCACACGCAGGATAAATGCTATTCTTCTTTTCTATTCCAAAAGTTGAGATAATGATCAGTTCCATGTATCTTTGTTTATCATCACCACATACGTAATAAATCAATTGTGAATTTGGTTTTTTATATACAAATACAATGGTGTTAAAAATTACATGTATGATTATTTTTTGTCCCCTAACCTACAAGTTTAATGGACAACTATTCGTCCCTAAAATTCACACAGGTGACTATTTGTCATCTCCAAAATTATAATATAAGCGATCATTTTATTGTCCTTAAATAAAATTATTTATGACGATTTGTTGACACGAATTCGACTCTTATGAGTACAACATGTTGTCCCTACAGAAAAGGGAACGATATTTTTTATTTTTTAAAATATTGTTGGGGACGACTTCTTGACATCACAGTTGTAGCTATGAGGATGACATATCGTCTTTCATAAAAAAAAAATGAGATAACAACTTGTAAGTACTGAGGACGACTATCATCCCTAATATTGTGGACGATCTAGATATTTGTTGTACCCAAAAGAATAGAGGACAAGCGTATAGGGGACGAAATATTGGGGACAACAAAATCGTTCCTAAAAACTATGGGGACTATTTTGTCTATTTCCGGGGACGATTTTTGTTGTCCCTAAACCTACTATTTTTTGTAGTGAAGGTCGAGGTGCAGGTAGTCATGGCCAAAGAGCCTGGGGTTGCTTACACAGGAAGCGTTGCGAATTGAGATCTCTGTCATTGCTCCATCACTGAGGCCCGGGATGGCAACCACCAAAGTAGCAGCATACGAGAGTGAGAGGGGATGGGATTAGGTGCTAACCCCTATAAGGGTTAGCACCGTGATAATTAGCAAAAATCACTACGGATTATTATAAAATCAATACAACATCTAAGCTAAATCACTACTAATTCAAACTAGTATTAGTTTTTCCCTTGGTTAGGACGGTGCTAACTATTGTACAATTAGCACCGTAACCCCTCCGAGTGAGAGCTCTATGTTGTAGAAGGCGCACGACCTCAGGCTGGATTTGATGATGGTGGCCAGAGCGAAAGATTTACGTGACGCCGGTCTTGAGACGCCGATCAACGTTGAGTCATAGGAGAAGGGTGCGACAAGCGCACCACAACCAAAACAAGCTAGGCGAGGAGTCGTGATGGCAGTAGTCCTTGTCAACTCCTTGGCCAGAAATGAATCGCCACACCACTCGACCTTGACGAAGAAGACGAACCACAGCTGGTTCATATAAGGAGAAGATGCTTCCATGGCAAGGGAGTGAAAAGTCCCCCCAATTCCTTATCTACCGTCGAGCAAGTTGTTTCGGATGTAGATTCACTCTTCCTCGATCACCAAGCTTGGTTCTTTTTGCCATGCATGTCGTCTGACTCTCAAGAAAAGGGATCGTGATGGAGGATGAGGGTTGCGGGTGACTAGAAGAGTGTAACATTCACAAACTGGAGGTTTCGGAAGAAGGAGACCGACCGAGTTCAATTATATGAGAAAAATTGAAACAGACCCTTACATGCAACGTGTCAAAGGGGCAGTCAGAATATGTACGTACTAACGCTGGTTTATAGGTTTGGATTGACGCCAGGGGAAATATTCAACTAGCAAGAGCAATAGCTTTAGAGTTGAAAATTCAAGGCTCCACCGCCGCGGCTAGTAAGCCAAATCTCATAGAAGGCATGCAGTGTGTTTTGTGCATACTTGGAGAAGGAAGGAGAGCAGATTGCTCACAGAATAATGGGGATGGGGAGATCATCTCCTGAAGCTAGCCTTGCACAAGAGAGGCCAGGGGAAGTCGTGGCAGTAACAGGTAACGGCACCAACGACACTGTCGCACCTCGCCGGGAAGCTGTAGGCTTGTCAATGGGCATCCAAGGGACATAATTAGTTAAAGAAAGCTTGCTTGTCATTATTGTGAAGGTTGACGTCGACTCAAAGCTTTTCACTACCGTCTTTGTTGTGATCCGATCCCTATGTCGTTTTCCTTAATTATAGGGATCATTTTGTACCTTTTCCTTTCCAGCGTATCATGTAGAGGGGTTAGACTGTATATATATATATATGGTGGCTACTTCGGTGCACTCATTTTTTTGGGTGCTTTCAGTGCACCCACCTCTAAAAGTGATCATAATACATCAAATTTTGAAATTTAATGGGTTGCATTAGTCTCATATGATGATATAACACAGAATCACAACTAATCAACCCATTACCCTAACCTATTAACATTCAATTTTGAATCTAAACCCAAAATCCCAAATTGTAAACCCTAACCCTAAATTCCTAAACCCTGAATCATTCAAATTAAAGTAAATCTTGAATGATTTTTGTATAAAATCATGTGGTTCTTGTTCATCATACTACAAGGGATGATTGACATCGTTTTCACATGAATCGTCTGCTCAGAATGACGATTATGAGGCGGGTGCATTGAATGTACCCAAAAAATGAGTGCACCGAAGACATAACTATATATATATATTTATTTATTTATTTATTTATTTATTTAGCTGCTGCTTGTAACCCTAAGAACAAAAGACGTGAGTCGTCAATAAGAAATCAGCCGAGAGTCTCAAACTCTCTCGTTCAATATGAATGGGGAAACCACGTAAATCTGTGTCTCGTGTTATTTTTTCCCGCATTCATCGAGTTTTAACAACCGAGTTCAGCTGCTAGCTTCTCCTGCAGCACGAGCCTCCGTCTTGGCACTTGCTCTCGCGACATAGTAGCCATATTCAGTTACGTTGCAGCATCAATTTAGAGAGCTCGGAAGGTGGGAGGGCGGAGGACGAGTTTGAGTTCTTACTTCCTATTGACGGCTGCTCAACATGGGTGAAAGTGGTGGAGAATTAGTTTATGGGTTAGTTTCTAATTATTCAACTCATTATGGTCATGGCGGGTCAGAAACCGGAAGCAAGGAGGACCAACAAAGGGGAAGGAATGTGCCGACGAGGAACGGTGTGGATCCAATGCACAGCTTGGACCTTATATTGGTGACCTTATCGAGAGCCTTCCAAACAGAATTCGGCTGGTTAACCAGGGTTGGGCTCTAAAAGGTTGGATTTTCTTGGACCGGAAGGGATTTGGGTCAGGATCGACCGGCCCGACAGAAGAGGGAAGTCTCGTCAGAACTGCTTGTGCCAAGAGGATTGTCCGATCGAGTATTGGAACGGAATTGAAAGAGGAGGAAGCGAAAGAAAACACTGTAACTATGTCGAGGGATCACAATGAAAGCGAGGGACGTCCGTGAAGTAAATTGCAACATTGAGTACAAGATCTTTTTTTGGTGAGAACATTGAGTACAAGATCTCTTTCAAGTGGAAGGGATTGTTAGAAATATTATTATTTTGTACTATTTATTTTATTATTAGGGCTGAGCGGATAGTTCATAGCGGAATATTATTAGTTTATTATTAGGTTTATTTCCTATACAAATATGAACATTGGGTTTACGTAAGAATTAATCAGAAAAGTATTATTAAAGTATCTCTCTCAAACTCCTAATATCTTTTCTCTCAATTTCTTCTTCTAATCCCTAAATCCCCGATTTTGTTCTTCTCAATCATCCCTAACTCTATTCAAAACCCGAAAGAATTCGTAGTTCTTTCAGGAAGAGAGTACCATGATCCAACAGGTAACCTTTGGTTGTAGGTTACATTACCCCACAACCAAACAGACCCCCTGGAACTGGAAATTGCTTGAAAAGGTATGTCCATTCATTTGCTAGCTTAACACATTTCAAGGTATTCCTAGACTATAATTAATAGTGAACTAGTTTGTAGAATAACACTTGAAAATCGATGACGCTTGGCACTTAATCAGTCAATATTTCAGGATAGTTGGACTTTGAATATGATCTTATTTTTCTAACTTTTTTTTATCATTTATCAGGGATGACAAGAACTATCTCTAGACAAATTGAATAAGGACACCAAGAGTTTAGTGCAAATCAATGAGACAATGACTTTTGAATTGAAGATAAATACTGAATTTTGGTAAATTGAGTAAGTATTTAGTTCGCTCAACTTTTACTTCAAATGATCTAAGGACGAGTCATTTTATATATAGAAAAAGTTGGTATTAACCTAAATGTATCATCACAAAATTCAACCAACTAATGATACTAAACAACTGTTTTCAAAAAAGTTGAGGTATTAAGGATCATCAATTGTGGAAAAAATCCCAAATTACGGAATGTTAAACAAATTCTAAATTACAATATTTTTTAAAAATATGCCCAATATACTCAAGTTTGGATTAGACCGCAGACCAGACCAGCGATTTAGAAAGTCCATCGATGGATACTAAAGCGATCCCTATAAATCGCTCAATACCTAAGCGATCCCCTTTTATCCCTACATGCGCGCTGCGAGAGCCATCACTACCGCCGAACCCAACCTTCTAGTCCACATTCGTCTTCAACATCCTCAAACCAGAAGACCTTCACTGTTGAAGCACCGCATCACCGCTGGGACTTCCTTCTCCTTAATATCGTCTTCCTCCTCGTTCTCGTCCAAATCAAAACTATCCTCCAACGTTCCACCACCTTCGCCTATGAATTCCTTCTGCACCTGGTCGGATCGACCGGAGCTATCACTTCCATCTCCTTCCACTTCCTCTTTTTTCCTCCCCGCGTTCGCCTCGGCCAGCGAATTGCTCCAACACCTCGTAGGGTCCCCTATTTTGTCTTCGTGCCTGATTTCTCGAACGTTTTTTTATGGATAGGAGAAGTTGTGCAATTGTGGATGAATTGAAGGATTTGGAGGCAGTGGTGACTTTCAACACCAATGTCGAGAGCTACCATTGATGGATTGCTTTGGTTACCAGCGATCTATCTCCTGGGTCGCTGGTCTAGCCCCCGACCTAGCCCAAACTTGAGTATATTGGAAATTTTTTTATAAGTGTTGTAATTTCTGAATTTGTTTTAACAACTTCTGCAATTTGGGATTTTTTTCCTCAATGTTTATATATATCATCGCCATAATGACAAGTCCAACCTTCATTGTTGCTGCAGTCGTATTCCCAAACATATAGTGGTCCTCAAATAAAACTTCAATTAAGCATCTTCCCTTTTCCGCAGTGCCGATTTTGTCCAAATGGCATAAAAACCCCATCCTCATCATCCATCCACTTTGCATACTGCATTATGAATGCAAACGGATGAACCGAATAAACCCCATGTGAAAATAAAAAAGAAAATCTCAACAACACGCACAAAATTCCGAATCCTCTCTCCCCCCGAAACCCCTGACAAATTCCGGCATAAAATTGAAAACCGAAAAAGAACCCTTCCAATTCCCTTTCCCTTTCCCCCCAACATCTTCGTCGCACTCTGTTTCACACCAACCAACTTCCATTTCCAATTCCAATTCTCCCCCATTTCTCTCCAAGCCATGAACGAACCATTCCAGAAGCCCAGAAGATCGATCAAATCCAGGGAAGTTGGCTCCAGGTACCTCCAGACCACTCCAGCTTCACCCTCTCGTGACATCAATGGCGGCCACCCATCTCCATCCCCTGTTTCTCAAGCTCCTGCTTCCCCAGCCCGCACCAATAAGTCCACCGCCGCCGCCCGCAAGTCCCGCAATCACGACGACCCGGCATCCACTCGCGGCAGCGGCCTCCTCTGGCCTTCGTCCGCCATCTCTTCCAACCCATCGACCGATAATATCGCCACCGCCGCTCATGGCGGAGTCAAGACCGCTAAAACTCTGGGGGATCATTTTCGGGGGAGCAAGAGATTGATTAACGAAGTCCTGGAAGAGAAGAAATCAGACCCAGACAAGTTATCATCCGCCGCCGCCAACAGCGGGTTCTCCGCTCTGGGAAGACAGAGGAGCGGCAGAGAAGTAGCCAAGTGCGAGAGCGACAGAGCGATTCAGTTTCAGAAGGAGAATCACCGCCCCGGAGGACTCGGCGGCTCGTTCAGGTACGCCGGCGGGAAGCTCGGATTCCGTGGAGGCAATAAACCCTCTTCCCCTTCTCCTTCTTCTTCCTCCTCTTCGACTTCCACTTCGTCGACTTCTTCCAATACCCTTCTCTACACCAACGCCTGCTACGTCCCGGGGAGATTCTCCGTCGACGAGAATGCTCTGTACAAGAGCTCCCTCCCCGGAGCCGCCACCTCCCGCCGGCAATCGGACATGTTCCCGGAGCGAATCGACCAGGACGTGTGCGACTGGGCCGGAAATTGCGCTGAATTCGAATGCTTCGACCCGAAGATTGAAAACCCAGTTAGCAACCGAAGGAGAAAATCAGGGATCGAAGTTTCTTCCAAGTACTTGAACAACCTTAACCGACGGGGCCCCGACCCGAAATCCGTACCCGGGTCGCCAGTCCTCGACGGCGGCCCGTCCCCTTCCCCAAACTTGTCCCCGAAGAGGAACAATAAGAAATTGAGCATCAAGGCAGGGTTCAGAAGGGCGCACTCGCTCACGCTCCCGGGCTCAACGGGCCCGTCGCAGTGGGCCCTATCTCCGGGCCGGACCGGGTCGCCGCCCATGACGGTGGAGAACAAAGAACGGCCCATGTCGTTCTCCACGTGGAAGCCGCCGACGAGCCCGAAGAAGCATGGGGGCATGGAGAAATTGCTGAGCATGGGGCTTGATTTCTTCAAGAGCAGCGCCAAAATCAAGAGAATTTCTTCTTCTTCCTCGACTTCTACCTCGACATCAACCTCGAATTCTTCTTCTTCCTCCGCCGCCTTCTCTACCTCGTCATCGTCCAGTTCGTTGTTGGACAACGCCGAAAACGTCCATCAGCTGAGATTGATCCACGGCAGGCTGCTGCAATGGCGGTACGCCAATTCCAGGGCTGAAACAACCAACGAGAAGTTGGAGAAACAAGCCGAGGTGGGTTTTTTTCTTCTCTTCTAGAGTCCAGTATCCACTCAGCTTCAGGATTCTGAGTTTTTTCCCGGATGTTAATTTTGTATGTTGCAGAGTGATATGGTATTAGCGTGGAGCACAATTGTGAGAAAGCGGCAGAATGTTGTGAAGATGAGATTGCAGCTCCAGAGGGAACAACTGGAGGTGAAACTGGAATCAATTCTCCATTGGCAAGTAAGTTTTATCACCGGAAAGTAAAAACCAGTAAACCATCATCAATTGTGCTGTAGTGTTGATGCGGTGTGCAAGAAACTTACTAACGTTGTTGGATTGTGACACGGTATTTGAATTTGTTAGTATTTGCTTAATTTTCTCGGTCTTGTGGCACAGATGAATGCTCTGGAGAGATGGGAGGAAATGGAAAGGCAACACACTGCAGCATTGTCGAAAACACAGGAATCCTTGAACGCTGTGGTTTGCAGAGTTCCACTGATCAAGGGCGCAAGGGTAACAACCTATATTATCGTGAATTGGCTTCAAGCATGATAATCATAAGGAAATAGTTCAGTTTTTGACAAAATGGTAATGTGGGTAATTGGCAGGTGAACGAGGAGCTGACTTCTCTGGCATTCAGGCATGCTACAGATTTGACGAACTCCATCAGATGGGCTTTGAGCTCATTTTCATCTCCGGTATGTATGCATATTTAATATTTTTACTGCAGTAAGTCACTTGATGCGAGATGAGTGGAATGAAATGGAGAGAAATGAGTGAACTTGAGGGCATGGCTTTTATGGGTTGTTTGTTTTTCAGGCCGATGAGACGGTGGAGATGGTATCAGAACTGGCGAAAGTGGTTGCACAAGAGAAGTTGTTGATACAAGAGTTCCACGAGATTCAGCACACCATATCTGCGCTACAGGTTGAGGAAAGCGACTTGAAGGCTGCCATAATCCAGCTCACTTCTTTGCAGCTTTTGCAACAGCATCACCAAAAGCAAGAAGAGCGGTGCTGACTGTTGATGGAGGGAGACAGAGGATTCTTTTCTTTCATCTTCTTGTTATTTTTTTCTGTTGTTGGTGGTGAAATTTTTTGGGGACACAACAAGGATTGGGGCGGTGACAGTTGGAGTTGGAACGAAGCAAGAGGAATTTGTTAATTTTTGAACTGTTCAAACTCCAGATGTCACCCTCCATAGGGTACTAATAAAATCATTAAAAACAAAATAGTGCAATTTTCCTATCCTCCTTTAGATTCCTTGTTTTGTTTCCTTTTACCGGATGATCCAAGTTTGTGTTTCGACAGACACTAGCTTATTACCCAGTCACTTGGCAGGACGTAGTCACGAAAATTGACTCTTTGATTCTATCTGATATTACCCCTTAACATGTGTGCGGCGATGGCCGGAGGTTTGTCAACAACACCATAATAATATATGTAAAGTCATTACCCGTTAATATGTATGTGGCGATGGCCGGAGGTAGGTCAACAACGCCATAATAATATGATGAAAAGTCATTATCCCATTGCATTACAAAAGAAACAGTAAAACATAAACACTATAATGGACAATCCAAACCAAGCTATTAGCCTTATATATAGCCACTATTGTCATGCAACATGATGCTCCTAAAGTGAACATGAAAAATCAAAGGAATGCTTACCTGGTTCCAATTACCGATGGTAAAAACGAAAACCACCAAGAGATTTCATAAGAAAAACCCAATCTGGATTGCCCTTATACCAAAAACCACAGGGACACAAAAGGCGATAAATCCCTGGTTGAAAAAACAAAAACCAGCAATGTCCAAATCAAGTCGATGGAATGCGTCGGCCAGTTTTTTCTGATAAATAGTTTTGTTAATTAAAATGACAAGAAAAAAAAATGAAATTCAAAGCATGCAATTTTCTGTAGAAATCTCATATACAAACAAAAGAAAAAGGCAAGCTATATATGCCTGGAAGCACCAACAGATAATAATTTTTGTCAATATCCCTACCACTGTGAAATCCTACCAAATCACTCCTAACCACTTTGCTACACTAAACACACAAATGACTTACAACTCTGTACTTTTTATCTCTTCAGTCTGTATAAGTCAATCGCCATGAACCCTCCCCATTATCATGATTCTTATCCTTCTCGACAACAAACACACTGATTGGTCCACTCTTACCCCTTCTTCATGGCAACTACATGGTATTTTGAATCAGTGCAAATTAATTCAAACAACCATTCCTTGCTGCAATTTATGGCTTGGGGAAATATCACTTTAGTCATAATACTAATTTACATGAAATGAAAGAAATGATCATTATAATAGCCTTATAAAATTTAGAGTACCAATGGTGATTCCTCTCTTCTCCTCGGTGGCTTTGTCAATAGAATGAGATTGATGACTATCTCTACCAACGCATTCTATATGATCATAGTATGGCCTTTTGTGTAAATCATTTCTACCTTGCCCATTTTCACACCCCAACTCCAAGAGCTAACTTGTTGGGGCTCTCCTCTAGGTAAACAACTTGTATCAACATCAAACATGAAAACAAAAATTGCTTTGGTTGAGATACTAGTATCAGGATCTTGTGCTCTGTAGAAGGCAAAATCGTTTCTCAGGCATTGTCAACCCCAATCAATTTGAAGTGGGCCATTGCTCTCTTACCGTCTAAATTAAAGAGCAAGCTCAGGTTAGCCTCTTTTATATCTTAACTTGACAATTTTTTAGAGGAGATACAATCATGATTCACAATTCTAAAAACAACCACCTCAGGTAATACAATCTTATGGAAACAACACTAATGAAGCTCCCAAATTACAATTATGTACATGTTTCCTATGAGGGTGTGCATGTGCAGATTAAGAAAAATATAAGGATTGAGGAGGGAGCTTACTTGGTACACGATTTTTATGAGCAAAAATCCCGTCAATAAATTCCAGGTGGATATGTCCAATCGATCGGGTCTAGACATGCGTATATATCAACATGCTATACTACAAACACAGAGAGTTTGGTTTGTCCTTGCCATGACAACATATGCTCACCGTGTATTTATTCCTTGCAAAGAGAAGGATATCAAACCATCCTGTATCTGCTCCGAATATGAACATCACTCGTACTTTTTACATTATAGTAATTAGAACCGCACTTTTAAATCTGGAAGCAAGTGACCACTATCACAAAACATCATTGTAAAAACTTATCTGCAATCATGAGGTTATTTCGCTAAAAAGAGACCATGTTTTATATGTTGAAGATTAGCATATAGCTTGAATAATTCAATTCGACAATGATCTCAGCTCTTAATATAAATTTTGTGTAAAAGTGGTATGATTGAAGCTATTCTCTATGTTAACACTAATCAGAATAGTCTTTGTTTACTGGAAACTAACCTAAAAAACATTTCAAATCAGAAAAATAATGATACTGAAAAGGAGTATCATAACAAAAGCAACAAAAGTATAGCTATTTATCTTTAATCAACTCAAAAGTCAACCTAGAAGATCAACCAAAAGAACTGATGTTAAGAGATCGCACATTACTGTCAAAGAAACTAAATAACACATCAGCCAGCTCTCCAAGCAAGAACACTTAACATTTCCATATTTACCCCTCCGGAAACATAGCGCAAAAATTGAATTGAGAAATGAAAATAGTCTAAATGATCGAGAGGTGGGTGTGGGGTTGTCTACTAGATCATGGATGCCTTATTTCAAAATCGAGACGTGGTCCAAGTTGACTTTTAACTATAATAAAACTAAAATGATTATAATACCCTTATTCAAAATGTGATATCTTTCTATATTGTTTAAATTAAAATTATCTATATCTGTCTGATTCTCGTATTCTCCATGAGATCATTTTCAATTGTTATTATAGCTAAAATCATATATTAAACACGTCATCATACTCATAATCAAACAATCAATCATACACTAAAAATACAACCTATAATATACGATCGGTAACTACGTATCTAAGTGGAGATCCCTGATATTCGGAGGCCCTGTGCCGGAGGGCGGGCCAGCACACCCTCTTGGCCGGCCCTGACTCAAACACAAGACCTCTCATACTATGAGACACTCTATGAGCACTCTATGCAATGGGATGGGTGGATATCTCAATCCACGTACTCGTTATGGCTAACTGTAAGTTAGGTCGGGTAATAATCGTGTAGATACAGGGCGGGCGAGGCGGGTCGATCCATCCTTTTTTTTTTTAAGAACGTCGATATTTAACTCATTTAGAAAACAAATTTAACTATCATATTAGTTAAATTATTAATTACCCATCCCAAACATACTAGAACAGGTCGGATCGCAAGGGTCAAATCTCATCACGACGTTTACGTGAGTAGGGCTGAAAATTTGCCTGTCTCGTCCCTGACCCTGTCTGACCCATTCCTGAAGGGTCAAGATGTATAACTGACACGTTCCATCCTTGTCTCCTTCTTGACCCTGTCTGACCCTCAAAGGACGGGACGGACCGGGTCAGTGGGTCAACCCTAATCAACACACTACTTTTTTACAAATTACGTTTTCGTACCCAAAATTATTTTTTCTTACAATTTAGTACCTAATTTTTTTTACAAATAAGACCATATATTTTGATGGTAAAATTACGTTTTGGTACCCAAAAATTTTCATTTTTACAAATTAGTACGTAAACTTATAAAACTTTACATAAAGGTCCAATGTGGTGTGAGATATTTGTTGTTGCTAAGAGTCACAGGGTCAAAACATGCCTCGTCCCTAAGTTGTCTCTACCCGTCCCTACCCTTACAGGATCAACAAATGACTCGTCCCTAATCTGTCCCTGTAGACAAATTGACCCGTCCCGATCCTTAAGGACGAAACGGATCGGGCGGGTCAGTGGGTCTTCCGGATCAACCTTTCACACCCTATAAATCTATAAGTGACTGCTAGATTTTCATTTTCCACTGGGGAAACAACACCTATGATGAAGCAGCTGTCGTACTGTTCTTTCTATGACTTGGTAATATTGTAACATGCGAGCAACTTGTGGCTTAGTGGTCTCGTGCTATGATCCATTGGGACAGAACTGAAATATTAATTGACCAAATTAAGGGTACCCATGCCGTCCCTAAACGTGGCCATTTTTATGTTTTTTGCCTTGTTGCTGACTAGTTCTTTCTTTACTTACTAAAATATTTTCTTGTAAGCCCTTGTGATTTGTGAAGGTCAATCTATTTTTTGTGGTTGCTTCTTTCGCCCTGCTGATTTGATATTGTTTTGTGATGTAAACAGGGGCGGTTGTGCAGGGCGGCAGAGTGAACATCACAATGAGTTGGGGAACTTTCTTGGTTTCTAGTGTTTTCGCTTTGTAGTTGTTTCGTTTTCTGTTTGTTTACTAATTGCTTGTACTGGGATTGATTGGGGATATTATCAGCGGAGACCGAATCAACCAAGTTTTTGATAATATTATCGTAATAAAATATTTGTGGGATTCATTTGAAAATTTTGCCTGGGGATATTATCAGCGGAGACCGAATCAACCAAGTTTTTGATAATATTATCGTAATAAAATATTTGTGGGATTCATTTGAAAATTTTGCCTAAAATTTTTAAATTGAAAAAACTGGTCTTAATTATATAGAATTTAAAACTAATAATTAAAAGTCAATTTCTTTATATTCAAAACAAAAAAAAATGAAAATAAATTCTTCAAAACGTATGAAATTCATTTATACCAAATGGTAAGTAAGGGGTCGTTTGGTTCATGGATTTGAAAAATGAAGGTTTCGATTAAAATCTAGGTTTGCAAAACCATGGATATATGATGGAATTGCCTCATTTGGTTTTTGGTACAAACCATCGTTTGCTTGTTGGATTTCATGATGGATTTAATATTGTTATATTTGTGATTGTATTAGAAATTTATCTTATTGTCCTTTTTTTTTTACAAAAACCTTATTGTCCTTATTGAGCATTATTTATTTTTATATTATATTTTTTGTTATAAAACAATTTTGATCCAATAGCTTCGTCCCACTACCACAATCGGAACAAATAAACATCATTAATCAATAACAACTTCATATTATACACACAATTAGACATTTCGCTAAGATTTTCAATGTTGCAAAGTATGCTTTGAGATTAATCATGTAGTGCATGCGTGCAATGAATAATAATGAATATTGAATACAAAATTAATATGCACTACAAGTTGGTCATTAGTAAATATAAGAGGATAAGATGGTGATTAGTAAAATAAGTAGGGTTAAAATTATAAAAAGTCTTCATGGACTTTGTACCTAACACAAATCTTACCTCTTGGCCTGGGGTGGAATTCTCAAGTTCGTGAGGTCCACGAATTTGGACCCTCAATAGGGCTAGTAGTCGGTTGGTATCCGGTATAATCCAGTATTCGGTATACCGGAAACAGACATTGTGCCCGCCTAATACCGATACCATATGTTAACCGATATACCGGTATACCGGATAGTCGGTAATCGGTATTAAACCGGTATACCGAATACTGGGTCGGCCGGTCAGGGATGGCGAGAAGGAAGTCGACCTTGGGGTCGGCCGGTCGGGGATGGCGAGGAGGAAGTCGACCGTTGGGGAATGCTGTTGGTGGTGAAGAGAAGAGGACGACGAAGATGTTGGGGGTGACTGGTGAGCTTCGGCGAGAACTGTTGTTGCTGGCTACGGACGCTGGTGGTGAAGAGAAGAGGAAGAAGAAGGCCGAGGTTGGCTGCTGGGGGCTGCGAATCAGAGGAGAAGAAAGGAGTTGGCTGCTGGGGAGGGAGGGAGGTCGATTGCAATATTAGGGATTAGGGTTGTTGGTCAACGCCTGTTGTCCCAAATCCCAATTTGCATTTCCCTAATCAATTCCCCATGTGCGCTGGGTGACTCACTCCTACTGTCACTCTAGAAAATGGCCAAGTGTAACCACTTCCTAAAGCGTAGTATAGCGGGTTTGGGTTTTAATGTCAACCCGGGTCCTAGATGTGATGACTACTCAGTGAATTCTTATTATCTAGCGGTGAAACTTTAGTTCTTATTCAAACAAGCAAAACAAGCAAAGCAATTAAACGGTTGTTTTCAAGTCGAGAGAGGTCACCCGGATATGGTTCCTCTAGACTGCAGTTAAGCCGGATTGTAATTTAGCAAGTTCAATTTCTATGATAGTTATACTGCGGAAGGTTCTTAAACAGTCTGAAGTCTCGACTAAAGCTCTCCAGACCCTCTCAATCTGAGTCCCCAGCGGGCGACTAACCTCCACCGGAGTAAACAGATTGAGGCCCTAACGAACCAAACCTCCACTACCGACGTAAATTCGGTACATAATAGTGAATTGGCTCCTCGACTAAAGTCGCCAATTCACTACCTTCAATTAAGGGTGCTCTATCAACCTAGGCAGATATTCTCTTTCTAGGCCAAAGCATAAATAACAGGAATTTTATCAGGATTCATGTCATTCAATCATTCAAACCTCAATTGAATATAATCAAATCATAGAATCTGTACTTGGGTTTATACAATCAGACCTAACATACAATTCTAGGATTCTCCATACCCAAATGAATAAGAAAACTACTCCATAGAGAGATGGAAAATCTAGCTCAGATGCGGAAACCATACTATGAAGGATGAGAATCTGCTTCTGGCGCTCAATCGGATCTTCTCCAAGCTCAAGTCGGGCTCCAATGGTGATGAAGATCAAGCTAGGGCACTTGGGACTCAGTTTCGTCACTTTCTGTCTCTAGGTATCGCTCTGTCTCTCTAAAAATCGGAACCTCCTTCTCCTTTGGCTCAAATCTACCTAAAAGGCCAACCCTGGGGAAAACACGGTCGAGGGCACGACCGTGCTTTGGTTTTGCCCGCCCGTGTTTTGCCCCGTGTTAAAAACACGCCCGCGTCGGCCAAAACATGGTCGTGCCTAAATATGGTCACAGCCGTGTTTTGCTTTAGGCCAGCCCGTGTTTTGCTTTTCCATCAGTTCAGCTCTCGGCAATAAAAACACTGGCATGCCTGTTTGTGTACACGACCGTGTTTTGGTTTAGGCAAGCCCGTGCTTTGGCCCCAGCTCGACCGAATGACTTCCAAATGCCCCGAAACTCGTGCTTAGCCTTTCCTTCGACGTCTGGGACCTGAAATATGACAAAGTAGCACAACCCGACGTAAAACGGGCCAAAATACATGACTACTCGCCGCAAATGGATAAGAACTAAGGGTGCAAACATGTGCAAATACATCGCTATCACTGGGCGCTATGTTTTACTTTTTTTTTTTTAATATTCGGTATTACTGAATGGAAATTATACGCCCGAATACCGATACTGGCGGTACGGTATTCAGTAATACCAAATACTGGTTTACCGATTACCACCCCTAACCCTCAAAGTCCGTGGATCTCATGGATTTATTCCTGCTAAATCCATCAAGCAAGGATTGTGACGAATTCCATGAAGCAGATTTTGTGTGCTTCCACTTGTTGAGGTGCGATTTGCCACAATACCCCAAATTTCTAATGAGAATTGACTCCTATATTATCATATTATTAATACCAATTCTCCTTTATGAATCTATTTCCCAAAATAATTATTCAGCCCAATTGTACATAAGACTTGCATTTTTATACCACTCAAATTGACCGTGGTATTCATTTCCTAAGTCGAATAACTTTCATATGCTGGAATTAACTACTCTAATGCATTAAACCACAGTTACGAAATTGGGGATTGGGGAAATAATATGGAAATGTATAATAATCTAAAAATCATCCTAGAAGAGTAACAAGGTAATTCTATTCTCAATCACACTGACAAAAAGGAAGGGGGGGGGGGGGGGGGGGGGGGGGGGGGGGGGGGGATGGGGGTCTCTCTCCCCGCTCTCCTTCGTCTTCTGCGAAGGCTCGGCCAACTTCTAATCACCTTGGTTCTTTCTATCTTCCTGGTTTGCCTCAGTAATCAACAACAACAACGACACCGCAAATCTAAGAAAATGGGTGCTCAATTGAATCTGGGTGCAGAGGAGTTGCAAAAGAAGGGGCCTCTGCCTCCCGCTCCTCCGGCGCTTGCATTCAAAGCACGGCGGTTCATACCTATGGGTGACTGTCCATATAGGAAAAAAAGATGAAGAATATAAACTCGATTCAAAGAATTGATCGGAGTGCAGGTAAACGAAACCGTGGGTTAATCCTGGTTGATCGTACTTTGGAGACTGCGAAGCGGCGGCGTTCAGTTAACGTCGTCTTTTGGGTTTTCAAGCTCCCTTCAGTGGAGGAATTGGATTTGGAAGAGCTGGTATTCAAACAAACCATTATGGTTGCCAAGTCTAAGATGGCAATCGGGAATGCCTCTCTTCCCTCGGTCTCTTTGGATTCTGATACATTGTTCCCAAACGAACGTAGCCGGCGGCAGGAAGGGGATACACCTACCGCTGATCGGAACTCCGCCGTCAATGGTTTTTGGACAAAAGATTCTCCCATTAGGCGGTTGAGTGTTAGGAAGATACCTCCTATGGATTTGGTTTCCGAGAATAAAGGGATTCCAATAACCAAGTTTCAAATTCCGATTTCCTGGGCGAAGTGTTCTATCTCTAGGAGATATCTATTTCCCCGATACCGTGTGGGACTGGGAGTCCCTATTGGTGACTTGACCCGGCTCTTATTTAAGGAACTCGGCGCTGGAACTCAAGCTCGGAGTTTAACCTTAACCCGAGCAACAGACCAGCCACGAGCACATCCGACCGCGGTCATTCCCAATAGCCCTTCCCACGCAGGTAATTCTTCGAGCTCTTCTCTGCTTCCCCGTTCCTTTAAGCTGCTTGCTAGCCCACTGATCAAACGTGAAAGATTGGGTGGGTGTAGCGCAGGCAACGGTAGTGTTAGCAACAGAGGGCGTGGTACATGCTTGTTATTAACGTGGCCACGGCCGGTTGGAAGGGATGAAATGATCTCTAACAATAATGATTCTACTTTGCAGATTCAAGCCATGGCACACGTAGCTTCGGATCAAGTGGTGCAATTCTCCATGGAGGAGGTCCAATCGACGAAGTATCGTGCTTCTCACTCCCTGCTTGGTCGAGTTTTCACCTCCAATAGAATTTCCACCACTGAATTGAGAGAGGCTGCTCTCACGCATTGGCTCATCCAAGGAAGGCTTCGGGTGGTTTTGGCGAAACATGGGCTGGTTGAGTTCATGTTTCGGAATGAAGAAGCTCGGCTCTGAGTGCTTAAATGTACCCTTTGGGTCCTCAATGATCACATTGTTCACCTCCGCCCTTGGACCCCGATGGTCACCAAACAAGTCTTTGATGACCTTGCAGTTGTTCCATTCCGGGTTCAATTGTGGGACATAAAGGAAGAATGCTGCACACCGCAATTCGGGAGGAAAATGGTGAGCGCTACCATCGACAAAGTTCTTGAATCGAATCTTTTTGCTTGTCAAGATACTGGGCGCTGGTTCGTGAAAGTCAGGGCATTAATCGATTTTACTAAACCTCTTCGATCCCAGATTATGCCTACTAATGATGATACTGGCTGCTTCTGGGTTAGCCTCAAGTACGAATATCTACCGAGTTTCTGTTATCATTGTGGCAGGGTGGGCTATTTGATGCGTGCATGCACGTTTCACCCGCCATCTCGCAAGGAAAAGTTTGGACCTCACATGTCCACTCGCAAGATGGGATCCCGTGTCTATGACGCTGACAATTCGAGCCTTCCTTTTTCAAGGGGTGGTAACTCAGTTTGGGTGAACAAATCACTCAAGGAGCAGAGAGAGGGTGCTGATGGGAATGGCTCGGCTCTTTCTGGTGAGACACATGACCCACCGGTCCAGGTGAGGGATTGGCAACAGAGCTTCCCGCCGCGGAGGTCAAATGTTGAGGTAACTGCTGGACCTCAGCATCGCCAGAGTCCTCGGGGCTTCAAAGTGGCGAAATCTCCTAAGATGCAGATTGGGCGAGCTGGGTGCCCTCCTCGTCTGCAAAATCAGCAGGCCGGTGGAAGGATTGGTCCAATGTGCCATGCCGAGAAACAAGTTTGGGAGGACGAGAGAAGGAAAGATAGCCTCGGCCGGAGTACCCCCTTGGTGGTGTCGGAATCTTCGGCGCTTCCTTCCGATGGGGCTGCCGGTCATGTGCCTACGGAGAAAAATAATGCTACCCTGGATCCTGTCGGAGGCTCATTTTGTCTGATTCGGATGATGATGCCCCGCCGCCCCCAGTTCTTGGTGCTCCTGGCATAGCACGCGAAGGGAAGACGAAGCAGCGTCTCCATGTGAAGTTGGGGGAGAAGAAGCTGGCGGCGGAGGTCTCTAACCCGCGCGCTGCCCCCCGCCAGTCTCGGCCGAAATCGAGTGGTGGTTCCAGCCGATCTAAGGAAGTGGTGGCTGACCAGACCCAGGCGGTTTCGATTCGATCTGGGAAGAAAAAAGGTGGAAGTAAGGGTAAAGTTACCCAACCAGAGCAAGTAAGCGAAGGCAGCACTCCGATTTGCCCTGTTCCTGAGAAAGGCAAAATGGTTATGGAGGAAGCTAATGCGCCGGTGGACTCTGATGGCTCTCCATCTTATGAGGATGAGCTCCGTTATGTTATCAAGAGTAGGGGCTCACCTGATGCTCAAATTCAAGCTGGGCAGGTGAAACAGGTGGTAGCGGCCTTTGAGGCGAATTTAGCCATCAATGAGCTTACTGACCACTCGGAGCCTGCAGAAGGTGATATGATTCTGAAGCTGAATGAATATGGCTCTAATCTTGAGGAGGGAACTCGCAAGCGGCCTCTCCAAGATTTAGCTGGGGATGTTGCGGATAGTCCAACCCCTAAGAGGCAATTTGTGGAGGAGAATGCAGCAGCTGAAATGGTGGAGGAAGCCAGCCAAGAGTGGCCCCAAGCAGATAAATGAGGCTTCTGGCCTGGAATATGAGAGGGATTGGGCCATCCCTCACATTCCAAACAGCTTTGAGTTTAGTTCGTTCCAATAAGCTGGACCTTGTCTTCTTTTCATAAACAAGGTCGTCCAGGCGCGTAGTTTCCCGTCGTTTGAGGGGGTTAGGTTTCGAGTCGGCTCAGTGTTTTTTTGTTGATGCTATTAATGGTTCTGGTGGTCTTGTAGTTGCTTGGTCCCTCAAAGTTGATGCTTCGGTGTTTTTTCATTCGAGTTTTTGTATTGGTTCGAGAATTAATGATAATAGTTCTTCGTATGTGGTGCTCTGTGTTTACCTAAGTTGTAATATCGCATTGAGGGCAGTCCAATTGGTCCATGTTCGTGAGATTTGTGAAGGTTTACAGGTCCCCTTTGTGATAATTGGCGACCTTAACGTAACCTTGCAGGAGGGAGAAAAAGATGGTGGTAATCCTTGGAATGCTTCTCAAGCTCTAGACCTTCGCAATCTGGTCCAAGACCTTGGGATGCATGATCCAGGATACCAGGGTGACCCTTTTACTTGGACTAACAAACGAATGGGGGTGGCTTGTATTCGGGAAAGGCTGGATAGGGCTATGTGTTCCCAACGCTGGATGGATCAATTCCCTGATACTCTTGTGAAGCACTTCACTGATCAAGGATCTGACCATCGGGCTGTACTCCTATATGATAAACCCTATGTCTAGATGTTTCGCCCCCTGTTTCATTTTGATGCCAGGTGGGCAGATAACCCGGAGGTTAAGGCGATGGTAGCGTACGTTTGGCAGGAACCAGTTCATGGTACCCCAATGTTTCAGTTGTGGGAAAGATTAAAAAAGCTCCGTCATTTGCTCTACGACTAGAGTCGAGCGGGTACCACCAACTCCCTGCGTAATATCCATACCTTGCAAAATGAAATTTCCAGGATAAAAGCGGTTCATCCGATTGATTGGCAGGAAGTGACAACTTTAGAATCGGAATTGAATAGGCAGTGGGAGGCCGAGGAGCAATACTGGCAACAAAAATCACGTGTCCGTTGGTTGAAAAGAGGGGACCAAAATACCTCCTACTTCCACACGGTCACACGAACCCGGCGAAAAAGGAATTTTGTCTCCGGATTGTTTATTGACAATGGGGACTGGATCACTGAGGAGAAAGGGAAGGCGGACATTACGACCACCTTCTATCAACATCTCTTCACCTCAGAATCTCAAATTCATGATATGAATGAGCGGGTGGCTGACCTCCCTATTGCTTCCAACGTGACTCCGGAAATGAATGCCACCCTGACCGCTAAGGTTAGTCCAGATGAGATCCGCAAAACGGTCTTTGCCATGGGCTCAAAGCAGGCGCCAGGCTCTGATGGCTTCACGGGGAAATTCTTTAAAGCCTACTGGGGGATTGTGGGGGAGTCGGTGGTGGCTGCGGTTGGCTCTTTCTTTGCTACTAGCAGGATGCTCCGCAGTTTTAACCACACCTGGTTGACGCTTATCCCAAAGGTGGATCAGGTGGAATCCATGCGTCAACTTCGTCCCATCAGTTTATGCCAGTTCATATATAAAGTGATTACGAAGATCATGGCGAAGCGGCTGGCCGGGATTTTGCCCCTCATCATCTCTGAAGGTCAGAATGCTTTTATCAGGGAAAGACAGATAGTGGATAATATTCTGATAGGCCATGAGTTAATGACTATTTGAAGATCAAAACCCAGGGAAAAAAAGGATACATGGCTCTTAAGGTTGATATGGAAAAGGCCTATGACAGAGTTGAATGGTCCTTTCTTCTTGCGGTTTTGGAAAAAATGGGCTTTAACTCGATATGGTGTGGATGGGTGCAGGAATGCTTAAAGTCAACAACTTTCTCGGTCCTTATGAATGGTTCTCCGTCAGGTTTCTTTGCGCCCTCTAGGGGGCTCCGGCAGGGAGATCCCCTCTCTCCCCTTCTTATTGTGCTTTGCACTGAGGGCTTTGCTGCCTTACTCCGGAAAGCCATCTCCGACAAGAGGCTGGAAGGAGTGAAGGTGGCTCCGAGGGCTCCCCGAATTTCTCATTTGTTCTTTGCTAATGATTCTTACTTATTTCTCCGGGGTTCTCTCCAGGAGTGTGAGAATTTGATAGAAGTTCTAAATGATTATGAGGAGCTTAGTGGCCAAAGGGTTAATTTGGAGAAATCGGCTGTTTGTTTTAGTAAGAATGTCTCGTTGCCTGATCAGGATTTCTTGGCGGCAATCCTTGGTGTGGGCCCTGTAGGGGTTCAAGATAAATACCTTGGTCTACCCACTTTGATTGCTCGCTCCAAGACGGCCACGTTTCGATTCCTGGAGGAGAAGCTTTTAGAACGTTTGCAGGGTTGGAAACGCATGACTTTATCTTGGGCAGCAAAGGAAACTCTGATTAAATCTGTTGCCTTAGCTCTTCCGCTCCATGTGGCCAGATTCTGGTGGGGGGTTGATGATGGTCGGTCCAGGATTCGGTGGGTCTCCTGGCGTAATTTGTGTAGAAGTAAACATGACGGAGAGATGGGTTTTCGCCGGTTCGAACAGTTTAATCAAGCGTTGTTGGCTAAGATAGGATGGCGAATTTTGAATGAACCCCAGTCCCTCTTAGCTCAGGTCTATAGAGGGAAGTATTTTCCACAGGGATCCTTTCTTTCGGCTACGGCTCCGTCCCGCCCATCCTGGGGATGGCAAAGCATTCTCTTTGGGCGGCAGTTGTTGACTAAGGGTTTGCGGTGGCAGATTGGGAATGGCCAAAAGGCCCCTTTGCTGAACTCAAAAACTGGATCCCGAATCAGCATCCTTCCTCTCCTGTGTACAACCCCCGGGTTCTGCTGGCAGATGAGGAAGTGATGGTCTCTGCTGTCCTCCGTCCAGGGGAAGGGAGTTGGTGTGAGGATCGGCTGAGCCAGTGGTTTGACTCCCCAACTTGTCAAGCGATTAAGGCGATACCACTGCCTTGGGAGCATATTGAGGATCGATTGATCTGGCATGCCACGGAGGATGGAATTTTTACAGTCAAATCGGCTTATCATTTGGCAGTTCGGCTGGACCAGGAGAGTGGGAGATGGTGGGCGCAGGTTAGTTGGATGGACAAACGTAGCTGGATCCGGGTGTGGGAAGCTAATGTCCCTCCGAAGCTGAAGGTGTTTGTCTGGCAAATCTTGACCAGAATTTTACCAACGACTGAGGCACTAATAGAAAGGAAGGTGGAGGTCCTACCCCGTTGTCCTGTCTGCTGGGCTTCAAGCGAGACAATGGAACACTTGTTTCTTGAGTGTCCGGTGGCTACGGCTCTGTGGTCGCAGGCAGGGTTTGATTCTCTTGGCGAGGGGTTGCCCCGTCATACTTTCCCCCTCTTTCTCAAGAAATTGCTGGCTACTGTGCATCAACCTTCGCAGTTCATGGAGGTAATTGCTGTTCTGTGGAGAATTTGGAGATCCCGAAGTTGGGTGGTCTTTGAAGGGAAACAGTTCAGCATTCCGACTCTCTTGAGACAGTATAACCAACAGGTAGGGGAATGGCTCGGCCTGCCTAGGAACCCTCAGGCTTCCCCTCCTCATCTGCCTGCTCCTCCTGTTGTGGAAGTAAGCGGATCAGGGGGACCTGTGTGTCGTTGGGATGGGGCTGTTCGACGTGGGTCGCACTCTGCTGGAGGTATGGTTCTTCTCAATGGGGCAGGGACGCCGCTCTGGGCTGAGGGGTTCAGTTTCCCAACCTGGATGATCCAATGGTGGTGGAACTACTTACTCTTCGGGAAGCAGTTCGTTGGTGTTTGGCGCAGGGGTTTCTGATCATGCGGTTTGAAGGCAATGCTAAGGTGGTCATTGAGAAGATCTGCAGGGCTGATGTGCACGACAGTCGGGTGGGGGCTATTTTGGAGGAGATGATTCAGATTTTCAGGGGTAATCCGGGCTTTAATGTGCGATTTGTAGGTCGGGGTAGCAATAGGGTAGCTCATTTGGTAGCTAGACAGGCCCTGTCTTTATTCCCGACTACGTGTCGTTATTTTGATTTCCAGACCTGGCTGGCTTCCAGAGTGTAACTATCGATTGGTTTCTATCAATTAATGATTATCTTTTGTAAAAAAAAAAAGAGTATCAAGGTAATTCTGCTTTCAAATCCATAATTTGATTCAACAAAATCCATCATCAACCCCTTATTTTTCAAAGTCAAATATTTGATTGAGACTTCTATTTTTCTAATCCCACAAGCAAAATGCTCCTTAATAAGGCCTCATTGTAACCCAAGATCATAAAGATTTTATTATGACAATATATGGAGGATATATCATGTAGAATACAACATTTTTTACTTGAATTTAGCCCACAATGCATACATTGGAAATAAATTATATATTTCTTATACATAATAAACAATGTAATATCTATAATTTATAATCCATACATTCTTTATATTTTCCAAACAACAATTCTTTTAGGAAATATAAATTCTTATTAATGCATACACTACAGAAATTCACAATTTCTCCAAGCAAAGTTCTAAACCAACCTATCGTGTTTTGATGTTTGGAGTTGTATACTTGTATTACCTTTGGGTTAGGTTTGACAATTGACAACATTGTTGTCACGCCAGTGGATGGTTGAATTTGGTATAGTTAATGTTGGTTATGGAACCGGTTGGAATAACATCGGTATGACCGACATGATAGATTTTCAAACTCTAAATAAAATGATGATATTCAAGTGAGTTTAATTGAGAAAAATACTATTTTATGATTTATTTCATCCATTTGAATATTAAATAGTGATGTTATTTGTTGGTTTCAAGTATAAATGTTTGAGTGTTGACAATTTTAGGGGTGTTTAATTGGTTACTATGGTAATTATCAAACTAAACAATTCTAAATTCTATAACCATGAAATAGGTCCAAACTAACGCAACAATAAAATTAACCAAAGTAAAGTTTAATCGATTTGGTTAACTGATTAACCAGATTAACCAATAGAACATCACATTATCATTAAGTGATAATTTATTCGATTAATACATAAATCCACAATTTATATAATGGATAAACATAACAATCAACATATAGTTATAGTTAACCCTTACATAAATACATGCAACTAATACTAATACAATTATCTTACAGTCAATAGAAGTATTCGCTTAACAAAAATATATGCAATGGTATGGAGTTAATGAACTGTTGGGTTTCTGTGAATTGATTTAGTCTTTTAACAATTATCATAGGCTAAAAAAGATATTGTTTTCAAGTTTTAATCCAACATAATGTATGAGTTTTTATCTAAATTAGGCTTCCATATGTTGTGGTCTACACTCTACAAATACAAATATACAGTATATGAACAATATTGAGTTTTTATCTTTTATAAGCCTAAAAAGGAGAAACGTTTAACTCTTAGTGGTTAAGCAAATTATTAAGTATGTATTTATAATATATATTAGATGTATGACGAATACTTAACTGGTTAATTTGGTTTCATTGGTTAGAAGTGTCGGAAACCAAACCAAATCACCAAAACCAAACAAGCTAAAAAAATTAACCAAACCAAACCAGTTAACCAAATTAACCAAATCAAATTATCCAAATACTACCGGCTAAAACGGTTACCACGTTTATCACTCCGTTTGAACACCCCTAGTTGACATTAAATGTTGTAGTTGACGTCGAGTTTTTTTAATGTTGTGCAACGGAGTCGGCCGACGGCCACCTTTCAACTCGAACTACTCTCTTGATGTCTCTGGTCTTCTCCTGCAAAGAGGATCTGCCAGTCGATCTCGTCGGGTACACTCTCCGACGCTCAAGTTAGTGAGTGGTTGAGGGAAGAGGAATATTACCTCGAAAAGAAACATGAGGAAATGGGATTGAGAACGAATGTATGTGCTTAGGGGGTGGAAATTGGGGCGGATTGGGCTGCCACCAACTAATATGTGGTTCACAACACGACTATAGTGGTATCCTGTTTTGTTAAATGCAATTTTGTATATCTTACTCAACGTGGGGATTTTGTCTTTCCGATTTTGGTATTCTACCTTTGTGTCATAGAGTGAAAGAGACTATAGTAGTTTTTGCTTTACGAAAATCAAATTAATCTTACACGACACACCCTATAAGCTTGCATTTGGACATTGAGTTATTTTAGCCTTTTACATAATTAGTCATTACTCCTAATATCATAAACTATTAATAATAAGCATGATGGACTTAAATGTAAAGTAATGGTTGTTATACTGATGTGGGTATAGTGGATTTTATGGTTTAACCACTGGGGTTAGTGACCACACATATTAGGATTTTGCTAACCACACCCAACCCATTACCCACAAATTGTGGGTTTGGTTATCCACAATGTGTGCAATTTGGTGCGGTTCGTGGGGTTTCCACAAACCAAACTTCCATCTTATACTGCGCTAATCATAGCGAGAGTTCACAGGTCTTGGCATTGGGGATTTTTTTTCCTTACCTTAATCTGGAAACGAAATGGCCTTATTAAAGGCCTCTAGGCGAACATGAAGAGGATACATGTCTCCATCTAGAGCTTGGTGTTATATGGAGAGAGGACACATCACGGGGGTACGTGGCCAAGGGTGATGAGTGACCTGGTGTGAGTGACCCCAGGGGTGGGCGGAGTGAGTCCAAGTTGGTCGAGGTGACCTAGGGTGGTTGACCACGGGGGGTGGCCGAGGTGTTCTGAGGTAATTAACCCCGGGGGTGGGGGGGGGGGGGGCAGAGTTACTTCGGGGTGGTTGAGGTAACCCAAGGTGATTGACTCTGGGATGGTCGGAATGACCCCGGGGTGACCAAGGTTACCTGAGCTGATTGACCCCGGGGGCCCGGAGCGACCCCGTGGTGACCGCGGTGGCCCAAGCTTATTGATCCTAGAGTGGCCGGGGTGAACCCAAAATGACCGAGGTGACCTAGTGTGATTGACCCCAGGGGCCCGGAGTGACCCCGTGGTGGTCGAGGTGGCCCGAGCTTATTGATCCTAGAGTAGCCAGAGTGACCTCAAAATGACAAAGGTGACCCAATGTGATTGACCTCGGGGAGCAGGAGTGACCTTGGTGTGATTGATCCCCGGAGTGACCCCCGAGGTGACTGAGGTGAAGTTGATTGATCTCGGGGGTGTCAGAGTGACGTCGGGGTGGCCAAGGTGACCTCATCGTGATTGACCACGGGGGGTGGCCTGATTGACCCCAAGGTGGCCGAGGTGATTGATCTCGGAGGTGCTGGAGCTGCCCCAAGGTGACCGAGGTGATTGATCCCGGGTGGCCGGAGTGACCCCAAGGTGGCCAAGGTGACTTGAGATGGTCGGAACGACCCCATGATGGTCGAGGTGACCCAAGGCGATTGACCTGGGGGTGACTATGGGGTGGCTGAGATGACCCAGGAAGATTGACACGGGGGTGATCGGAGTGATCCCAAGGTGTCCGAGGCGATCCAGGGTGATTGACCCGGGGGGGGGGGGGGGGGGGGTGGCCGTAGTGACTTCAATGTGACTTGAGGTGATTGACCCAGAGGGTACCGGAGTGACCTCAAGGTGGGCGACGTGATTGACCCCGGGGTGGCCGGAATGATACCAAGGTGACTTGGGGGGATTGACCCCGGGGTGATCCCATGGTGGTCGAGGTGACCCGAGGGTGAGACCTCAATGTGACCCGAATGACCTTGGGGTAACCAAATGGTGAGGTTATCTCCGTTTAATAAAATAAAATTTTACTTAGGGCCCACTAGTTATGTTTATATGAGTATTTTTTTTTTCATTTTGTTTGGAATGTCGTATTTTATTTAAAAATATAAGTAGATTGTCTTCAATATATTTTATATGTGCTGGAATTAGTTTGATGTTAATAATTTTCACAGTTCTACATATTTTGTTAAATCAACATGATTTGATATAAACTAATTATATCTGGTCAAATCATATCTCTTGTTAAATCGGCACAACGATATAAATGATTGACAACTTGCGATGACACTAGCAGCAGTAACACTAAGCGCACCAGTAACCATAGCCGGTCTTGTGCAGCGGGTTCATTTCAGATCCAGGGCCGCCCGGTTCTGCCCTAACCCGCAAAGTAATCGGGGTTTGGGATCCATTTTGGTAACAACATCAGAAGCTTTGATTGGTGAGCCCTTTTACCCGTCCTTGCTTCCAAGCCGAGGGCAATTTTCGATCCGCTTCGCGATCTCTTACCTCCGTCCTACTAGCTCATCGGATTGACGGATTCTCTCCTGTAGACATGGCGATGGCTACACTAGCTGCTGCTCGTCGAGTCGCTGCTCTCGGCCGAGTTTCATCCCCCGCCACATCCGTTCAGGCTGCGTCTCTCGTCCCCCGCCGCGGCCTCGCCGGCGCTGCAGGTAATCTCTACCCCCATGAAGCTTCCGTCTTTGAATATACCATTATTATTGTGCATATATAGATCCAAGAATGAGAAATTTTTTAATTCGCTGTTAGATGCATTTCCCGGTTCGTTTACCGTCTGTTTGGTCGTTGAGAAAAAGAAATTGAAATGAACGGGTTGTCTGTCTAGGGCATATTTTCAGCATTACTATCGAGGTTGGGCGAATTGAAAAAAGAAGGGGAAAAAAGAAGCTACGGGGGCTCTGATTCTTTTGTGTGTTTGTTTGGCAGATCACCATGGGCCACCGAAGGTGAACTGTTGGAGCCAACCAGCGAATCCAGCTCAGTGGAAGGAAGAGCACGTAAGTTTTTTGAACCGTTCACCATTTGGCTTTTCATTCTGAATTTTGTACGTTGTGTTGCTAGAGTTTGTCTGGTAAAAGTTTGCTTCTTTAGGCTGGACTTCCGAGTTGGGCTGAAGGGTATAACCCAGCTTGAATTCTCTGCTAGGAGAAAGGCAAATGTGAGACTGATAGAGCATTCATCGGTTGACGAGAGAAACTGTACTGATTCTTATTTCTGATTTCCTTTCCTTGCAGTTTGTAATTGTCTCTCTCGCTGGTTGGGCTCTCCTTATTGGTGGTAGCTACAAGTTCTTCACCAAAGGCAAGAAGGAAGAGGTAACTTTACACTTGCCTTCAAATGTGAGAGTTGATTTAGTCTTTTGCATTGTGGGTGTTGATGTCGACCTAAAAGCAGCGTTCTTTTCTCTTTGATGTAATGTGTGTGTTTTGGGTCAAATTTTATGAACCTAATTGTTGTCTTTACCTTTGGATTTGAGGTCATGATTAGTCAGTTAAGTTCTGCAGTTTTAACAGTAGCTTTTGAAAGCATGGCAGCTTGAATTAACTGCCTGGATTTTTCCATCGTAACCTGTTTGTCCTATATAGTTCAACATACTGAGATGATCTGTTGAAGGTTGGAGAGACTTCCCATTTCCATTTCTTACCTTCGAGCTTGTAATTTAATATGCCGCTCCCCCTTTCTGTTCTCCTCTTTTCTGTCCTTGTGTATTGTTGTTGTTCTTGTTCTCTTTAAAATTTCCAGTCCACCTGATGGGAAAACAAGAGAACAATGTCTATCACTGCATCCCTTTCTTTACATTTAGCACGTAATTATCTTTTTGAAAACCTGTTCCAAGAGATGTCTTCCTGCAGTCATTAGCACCGCCTTATATGTCAGAAACATTTAGATACAGACGCCCTGTGGCCTTGTAGCGTGGTGCAATGCCCTTCTGATATGCTTGAACTATTAGGCCAAATGATATGAAGCACGTTGAACTTGTTTTCTGGTTGATTTTATTGTGTCCACTCTGTTCATCAGGCGACACTATTAGGGCTTGTTTGCTTGATGGATTTGGTGAGGGATTTGGATCCATCATGGATTTTGTTCAAAATTCATTGTTTGCTTCATGCATTTAGGAGCAACAAATCCGTGGGTCCCACAAACTTTAAGGGTCCAAATCCGCGGACCCCACGGACTTGAAAGTCCCACCTATTTAGGTGGGAATTGATCATGGACTTTGAAGTCCATCATTTTAGACCATACTACCCCTCCTATTTCATTTCACTTCTCATACCAATGAGGGCAATAAAGGTAAATTTCACTTCATGCATACAAATCTAATTAACCAATTCCATCATGAAATCTATGAAACAAACAATGGTATTTTTCAAATCCATGATTAACCCAAAACCCTCATATATCTATGGTTTTACAAAGCCCAAGGTTTACCAAAACCTTCATTTTTCAAATCCACAAAGCAAACGACGCCTAAATGTTTTGCACCATGTCCGATTTGGATATAATCCAGCTATCTTTGCGGAAACTTAGGTTATTAACAGTCAGTTGTACTTGTACAGATTAAGGTCGTGGCATCCTCAACATATTTGTATCATTGTATGGTTGCTTTCCTATCTTGTTTTGTGTTTCCCTAACACACGATTTTTCTCTTCCCAGTTGGTAGAAGCAAAGCACTGAGGTCCATACCCTTCTCTCCTGTGGTTCCTGGTAATAAAATGTATTCAGTTGTCCTTCGCTGAGGATTCAGCCTGCCGTTTGTCACTCATTGTTTTCTTAGAACAGATGATTATATTAAGAGCGGAAAATGTTTAATCTCCTTTGGCGAGATGGATAATAAACCCTTCGCAGTTTGATGCTTCACAGTTCATATTATGACGACTGTTCTGATTTTATCTTTGCTTGAGTAGAAGGTATTTCCAATGCCAATGAAAGTACAGGGTTTTTTCGGTTTCGAAGTTTAAAGCTTAATTGGAGACTGTTTTTGTTCTCAATGAACATAACAAGTGGTTAGAGGTGGCAAATGGATTGGATTGGTGGATTGGATTGGTGGATCCATGGATCAAATGGATTGGATCTAATGGATTTATGGATTTATGAATCCAAATGATATCCTCAACCAAGGACCAATATGTAAATGTAAAAAGTTTAGGTACTAAAATGTCATAATGAAAATTTTTAGGTACCAAAACGTAATTTTTCAATGATATTTTTCGTATAAAAAATTAACTTTTAGGTACCAAAATGTAAAAAATAAAAATTATAGGTACTAAACCGTAATTTGCCAATGATCCATGGATCCAATCCATGAATCCACCAATCCAATTGGATTTGGATAAAATGGATTGGATTTAAATGGATTGAATTAGGTGGATATTTTTAATGGATTGATGAATTGGATTGGTGGATTGGATTGAAATTGCCACTTGTAACCAAGTTTTTGGATGGGTGGCCGGAGAAAATAATGACCATCTGAAATTCATTGATTCCCTCTCCACTTGAAATTTCAGAGACTAACACCTTTTCTAAAGAAATCTCATTCGGTCAGAACTCAGATGGGTCTGTTTCGTCTTTATACTCGTCTCTTTCTTGCTCCGATGAATCTGAAACCGACTCTGATTCCTTTTTGTAGATAGAATCTGCATTATTGTCATTACGTGAGCTTGCATCCATGGCAACTCCATCAGTCTGAGATACCTCATTGCCTTCCTCCAGCTTGAAAGTACCTTTGCTTAATCTGTCGTCCCTTTTCCCTGAACTGTTTTCTGAGTTTTCTGGCTTTGATAACTGAGCACCCGAAGAATCCCCTGACTCATTTACTGCTGCTATTTCCTTCATGGTCGAAGTAGTACTTCTCTTGCCCCCTTCACCTTCACCGTCTTCTTCGTTGTCATCTTCATTGCTCATCTTGTTGTTCCCCAACCATCTGTTTCTAGCACCCACCCTCCACTTCTTTCCTCTGGCCTTTCTCGAGTGGACATGTTTCGTCTTCCTTGCAGCTTCACCTGGAGAAGTAGTTCCATTGCTTCCAGCTACAGCGGCAGGCAATAATCCTTCTTCTCTGGACAACTTCCTCCTATTATCACTTCCATTATTCTCAACAATGGCACTCTCCCCATCAGATAGCTTCCTAGACGCTTCGTCCTTCTTCTCCTGACCTACTGCTACTACTGCATCATCTGCCGCCTTTGTCCCATTGGTGGAAAGAGGTTTTGATGAAGGATCCTCATCCGAACCTGCTGACCAGACCTTGACCGGGTTCTCGACCCCACGATGGTGATGACGACGATGACGATGCTTCTTCAACTCCAGATTTTCAGCTTCCTTCTGCTTCAAACTCTCAGCAACTTGGGGATTACTTTTCTTGTCTCCATCCTCTGAAGGAGTTGCATCCCCCCTCAGCAACTTGATCTCGCTCTGCTTCTCCTCGAGAGCAATCTCCAAGGCCTTCCCTTCGTCTTTTAGGGAATCGATGCTGGATTGCAGCTCCACCACTCTCCTCTCAAGCTCCATCTTCTCGGTCGTCACTTTCTGGAGCGCTGCTTTCATGTCCTCTGCTTTTCTCTTCATTTCACTGCTCTGTTCTCTCTCCTTCTGCAAATATGAGAATAACAGCAAAGCTGGTATAAGTTTATTCTAAAGGCATCCTCTTTATGGGTTAAGTCAACACTAAGCAAACCAAAAAAGCCTTAAACTTCTTTATCTCTTCTGGTTTCATTTTGGTTCACAAATTCCAGGGAGAATTCAAGCATGCATATATATTATGGGGAAATGGGAGCAAGGGTGTGGTTTACCTGCAGGAGAAGGTGAAGGGAGAAGAGCTGTTGTTCTTTGTCAGTGACAAGGAGATTGAAGATGCGCCTTTCTCTGAGCTTGTGAACCACTAGAACTCCAAGCAAAGCAGCACCAAATGCGATCAGCAGCATTACCCCATACGGCCTCCCTCTGTTGCTGTTCCCACCATTGCTGCTGCTACCGTTGAAGTTCCCCTTGATTGCCATTTCCTCTCTCTCTCTCTCTCTCTCTCTCTCTCTCTCTCTCTCTCTCTCTGCCCTTTGAAGATCAAGAGTTGGTTCAGTTTATGGGAGTTTATGTATAGGCCTTATAGTTAGTGAGAAAGAGAGAGGAGTGAGATAGAGTTTGCTGAAATGTAGGCTTTGTCATGTTAAAAGAGCAAGCTATCTACTCCTCCATTGCTGAGCTTTCTCTCTCCTGAGTCACAACACATGCACACTCCATCTACAGAGTACAGAGAGAGAGAGAGAGAGAGTTGTGTAGAAGAAGTAGAAGGGCTCAGCCATTTTTTTTTTCTGCTGATAAAGTGATAATAATATATCTCATAACGTAGAAGTTTGGAGCAAGATGGACTACTTTTTTTCCCCCTTCCATTCCATTTTCCAGGCGCTGAATCTGGAGACCACCTTTTGGATTTTGGCTTCATTTCCAAGCTTCATTTTTTGGCATTTTCCCCCCTTCTTCTCCTTTCTCTTCGGGGAAGATGGTTTTAATGTGTGCCGCCGACCTAAAACCCTACTCGCCAGAAATAGTTAATACTAGGCCAATGGAGTACAAGTGCCATTTTTACCAATATACCAAAACAAACGACTCATAATTAAATGGGAATGCGAGAGTCTAAACAAGATATATAAGCTTAACTTCAATATTGAGATTAATTATTTTTCGGTAGAACTTGGGTGTTTTTACTAATACTTAACAAGTTCAAATATTTCCTATCTATTGGTGGAAAGGTGGTTGTATAACTATAAATAATGTATTTATAGTCCAGGCTAGACGTCATCAAGTGGCAGAAAATTAGACTGATCGATAGAAAAACATACTGCAGTTTTCATCGTAACTCGAAAAAGAGTGATGAATGAGGATTGAACTCAACTGGGTTTCCCCAATTTGAGACGCGGCAGCTCCTGCTGCATGTCGATCTTTATGCACATGGATTGGTTGATTTTGGGTTCCAAGTGCAGTCATCTTTACTGCAAAGTCTTTCTACGATCTTCGATTGGCCGTTTCTCACCATTTCTTATATAGTTTCTCTTCTATGTACCTTATACAAAATTCCACGATTATTCATAAAAAGAAAAATCCACGAATTTTTGGAGCAGATCTGATCCATAACTAATCATACATAATTTTGTTTCTAATTTTACTAGCACAAGGCCCGGCCCGTTGGCCGTAAGAATTTTGTCGAGGAATATGATATATAATAATAAATATAATAGATGATTTGAAATGCATGAAATGATTATTTTCTACCTTAGTTATGCACATAACATTTTTGAAAGTGATCGAAATATGCATAATATGTTTAGACTTTAGACCTCCATGAAAAGAGGGGAAAAAATATAATATAAGCATTACATATAATTATTGAATGAAAAAAATACATATAACTAATTGTCATTCAATAATTAATTAAACCATATAGTTTAATATTAGAGTTGCTTCTCATAATACATACCAATGTTGTTAGAACCGAGCCGGGACATGACCCGATAACGCGAACGGCTCGCACTTTAGTGGTCCAACCGGTATTGGACCGTTAGAAAACCGGTACCTTATAAATAATAATATCATAAGTAAAAAACACAAAAGATAGTAATTTAACAATTTGATGACTAAAACGATATTTAATTTGCAGGTACCACTTGATAATTTTATATATTACAATTATATAACAACTAAATTAAACCCAATGACTATGGGATTTAAAGACCCCAAATGACTATTGTGGATCTTCTTTGTAATGAATCAATGGGCTCTTAAACTCAATGACGCCTTTATTCTTTTGTAGGTGATTATATAAAAAAAAAAACCCTAGTACCCTCTAGCCATCCTAGCGCCGCTTCAATCCCCTTCCCCCTTCTCTCCTGTTTCACAATCATCGCTTCCAAGTTCCACCCCATTTCCTCCGCTGTGAAACCCACCACCTCCACTACTCTTTTCCGGCCAACCCTCCCATCTCCTTCCTTCCTCCTCTCCCGCATTCAGCCTTTTCCTCCCGACGAAACCCCACCACCCCGCCCCTCTCATCCCGACCAACCCTCCCCAAATAAACTCACCATTTCTTCTACTCCATTCCCGGCCACCCTCCGCCGACGAGCCTCGAGCTAGCCTTACCAGTCCTTCTGCCCGTCGTCTTCTCCTCTTCCAGCATCCCCCCCTTCCCCAATTTTTTAATAGCAAACGGTCAAGAGACCAAAACCGGTCGGACGGTTCGAGCGGTTTGAACGGTTAACCGTTCCGACCGCTCGTCGACCGCCCTTCCCAGCCGTTCAGGTCTTCAGGGTGTTCCGAGCCTAGCTAGTGGTCGGGTCCCGGTTTTACCGGTCGGACTGACCGGCTCGGCTCGGTTTTAATAACACTGATACATACATAATCAACCTTTAGGATGAAAGAAAATGTCTCATAGAGTTTATTATGTTCTTTAAGTTTTTCCCAATAGAGAGCATTCTTTTTTACCACACTGTTGGTAATGAATATGAAGTTCTTTAAGTTTTTCCCAATAGAGAGCATTCTTTTTTACCACACTGTTGGTAATGAATATGAAGTTGCTTGATTTGAAATATATAGGACATGATGCTAAGATGTCACTAATAGTTAGTTGGAAATGTGTTGTGTACGGACTTCCCAAATTATTCTCGGATCGCAGACATGTCTAACAACAAAGTAGTAATTTTTATGCAGCAAATATTTTTTTCATGAAATAATTCAATAAATAAAAATGTATGAAAATAATATTTCTTGAAATATATGTTACTCATTAAGTTGATGAATGAGCGAGGGTATGAGTAGCATACATTTATTTTAAAAAGATAGAAGTTGCAAAATGTCTTTTGGGTTGCATGAGATCGCTAACTGACTTATGCTTTTTTGCAATAGATAGTTCAAAATGTGCCTTAAAACTTTTGTTTCCACCAGTGTAAAAGAATTGTTTGAACCAAAGGATTGTAAAATCGTATAGAAAAAGTTGGTAGTAGAGTATTTTATATTGAAGTCATAATTTCACTGTGGTTCAATCGTTTCATATTGCTAATATCACCTATCGATTTAGCCTATGATGTGAAGTTTGTGGTCTAACCGCCGGTACGTACAATCTTTCAGTAAAAACTTTAAATAAAAAACCACTAAAATATTGACATTATCAAATACCCCATAAAAAAAATAAAATTACAATACTAGTATTAAGGAAAATCTTCCAAATGATAATATTGATTTAGTATTTTAAATTGAAATGGAAAAAATATGTCAAATATAATGTCATCTCCTAAAATAAATCAAAACTCAACAGAATAGGGCCAAGAATATCCACTAATCAAAGCAGAAGAACAATTATTTCACACTACCTAATTTCCACCTCTTTTAAATGGAGTGCGGATCCGGTGACTAAGGGGGGGTCCTTAGTCACTTGACTAAGCCCCTCCTAGCCATTAGATCTGGACACTTCAATCCAATGGTTAAAAAGTGGGAAGGGCTATTTAATTAATTACAGGGGTAGTTTGGGTATTATGGAAAATTACGAAGTATACAAACCGGATTTACAATCAGTACAAACCATACAAACGTACGAACAGTACAAAATAGAGCGACAAAACATGCAAACAGATTCACAAACATTACAAACGTATGAACTGTACAAACAATACAAACTAGACTGACAAACAATACAAACCATACAAAAAGAAAAAACAACCGGGTTGACTTTGGAGGCTCCATCCCTATATAGAGGGGCTCCTTCCCAAAGTCAACCCGGGTGTTTTTTTAGACATACAAACATGGTGGACAAAAATGACAAACTAGACAAAAAATTCATACAAACTGGAAAAACACCCGGTTTGACTTTGGAGGCTTCATCCCTATATAGAGGGCTCCGTCTCAAAGTCAACCCAGTTGTTTTTTAGACATACAAACATTACGAACATGGTGGACAAAAATGACAAACTAGACCGACAATCCATACGAACTGGAAAAAACACCCGGGTTGACTTTGGAGGCTCCATCCTTATATAGAGGAGTTCCATCCAAAAGTCAACTAGGTTGTTTTTTAGACATAAAAAACATTACAAACATGGTTGCCAAAAATGATAAACATGGTGCACAAAAATAACAAAGTTTACAAACATTACAAAATAACAAAGCGTACAAACATTACAAAATATGTCAACAAACATCACAAAGCACTGGCGCCGGAAAATTCTTCTCCGCCGGAAAAAAAATTTCCGACCAAAATCTCTCTCTCTCTCTCCTGGAATAATGGCGCTTCATCTCTTTGGGGAAATTTCCCTGGAATTAATGGCGCCCAGGAATTGCCGACGGAGGCGGCGCAATTAATTGGGATGGAGATGGCAGGCGACGCAAAGGGACGGGGACGGGTTAATTTTTTTATTCCTTTTAAAATTAAAAATTAAATAAACATGTAATTACTGCATTGCCCTTCATTAAATAGAATTAATAGGAGCCCTTGAATTTTAATGAGGTTGAGTGGCTGAGATTCACTTAGCCATGTGACTAAGGGGACCCCCCTTAGTCACCTGATCTTAGCCCCTTTTAAATGTTCTCTCACTCTCTCTTTGCCTTCCTCTTTGTTTTTCCATTTGTTTTTCCATCTCTCTCTCAGTTTTGTATCTCACAACTCACCCCATTTTCCCTTCCTCTTTCTTCCCACCGCTTGGAATTGAGAGAAACCTATAAACATCCCAATTACTTATTGAATTTTGCATTCGAAATACTTCTTCTCGATTCACAATCAATAGTGTGAATCAGAGCACCTAAAATCTGGGGAATGATGGTCGCTTATTCATCGACGGAGCAAAGTAGCTTGATAGCTTGTGAATAAACTAATTATTAAAAGTGATAAAAAGCAGAACTCGTTAAACCAATCGAGTGAGTGTATAGTTAGCTCATCGCTTAAAGCCTTAAACCATTGTATGTATCTAAAGAATCAAAATGCATAATCAAGTTCATCTTCACTTTACATGTATTTGTCGTACAAAATCATTACATATAAAAAATGATTTTGAACTGAAGCCATATTAAACTAAATCTCATCTTATGATTATTGGATCCATGTCAGATTAGCAAAAGGTCTAAGGCTATTGGTCAATCGGACTGAAAATTAATACTAATTTAAGAATTATATATCACTTCCAAAATTTTCAATACTCCAATTCAATATGCAATATTCAAAAAAATTATATATGAGTTTCAACCCTTGCTCAAAATTTTTAGACAAACCACCCCCCCCCCCCCCCCCCCCCCCCCCCCACACACACACTTGCAAAGAAATACTAAATCACAATTTCTTTTTCACTTTACTTGCTTCTAAAGTTATTGTTGACGTTGTTTGTTATTACTACAAGTTGTAAAAAAGACTTTTCAGCTATGAAGTTAATCAAGAATGATTTTATAAATGAATTTTTAGTTGTATACATTGAAAAAGGTTTGAATCTCAAAATAAATAATGAATGTATTTTATAAACCTTTTAGAATATGTGCAATCACACGTTGATGTGAGAAACTACTAATTAATTCAAATTTTATATGTTATTTTTATAATATTTGATTTATTTTTTATCAAATGACGCATTTCTCCATTAAACATATGTTCACCAATATAGGTTGTATGGTGCTCGCACTTGTGCGAGAGCCCTTGAAGTTTAAGTCTGGTACGACCCATGAAGTATTCATGCTTGTACATGGCCGATCCATATACATTGTCTTCATGGTATGCTCTAAATGTGTCGTGCTAGCTCGACCATGTGCCTAGTTATAGTTATATGCATTATAATAATTAAGTTTCTACCTTTTCACAACACCAAGATAAAAACAGTCATAAATGCACTCAACATATGATTTTGACTACCTGATGAAATACTACATTTGAATAAATTACAACTGATGTCACAAATAATGATTATACCCTAAATCATACATAAAATATTTCAAACATAAAAAATATTAATATTAAATTAATTATTATAAAGAGTAAAAATTGTATAATGAGGTTAATTATAATTCATTTATATGTTCATGCCCTATAAATTGATCAACACATCCTATCCAAAACTAACAAAACGAACATCACATTAAACTCGATATCGTCTCATTATTGTCGGGTCCATTCAAATCTTGATTATTGTTTTTGTTTAGTGTAATTGGTTGTGATTATTGTTTTTGTTTGAAGAGACCAAGGTTCAAATCTTGATATTGATACTTTTTCATATGAAGTAGATAATAATTGTAATGACAAAAATACTCTTCCTACTTTCACTCTCGCTTCACGAAATTTGAAATAGAAAATCTTAAAACATTGAATATATCTTATAGAAAAAAGCTTCTTCAACCAAGTACGAAATATATTTTACCTGAAACTATTATATCTTATAGAAAGTGATTAATTGTGAAATCGGAACTCAAGTTACATTGATTCATACATTAAATAATAAATTGTATGTGTGGTTCAGTTAAGACAAAATACATATGTGTAGCCAAAACATGGATCTTTGTGACAAATATAGTTATTTTTTTTTTGTCACAAATCTATACATAATACAAAGAAAATCTATACATAATATAAGGATAAATTGGGCACTATGACAAAAAAGAGCCTCCTAGAATCACTCTCAGGCCACGAAATTTGAAATGAGACTCTGTTTTCCAGTTTTATCATTATATTATGGTAGATTTGTCACAAAAAAAGTGATTATAGTCGTCACAAAGGTCCATCTTTTGGTTAACTTCTTTATTTTGTCTGAACTAAACAACACATACAATTTAGGGTAAATACAATATATAAGCCACAATTATTCTGAAGCGGGGAATTATAGCCACAACTATGGAAATTCAAATTCTTAGCCAAACGTTAACTCTCTGTTAAAATCAAAATTTAAATTGGTTGTACCTAAAAATCAAATTAATCGCTTGATATATTTTGGAACAAAAATATGGAGACATATCTATACCATGGTGATGACGAGTAAAAGTAATATGAAGTAGGCCAAAAAATTCCAGATAAGAAATACGACAAACACACCACGACAAACATAAGGTAGACCAAGAAACTTATAAGTAGACTAAAAGGTCAGCACACCACAAAACTCGTAAAACATACCAGAGAACCCAAAGATGACCACAAGTTTCCTTAAGCATATTAAAAAAGCATAAACTTAACTAGGGATGGCAATTTTGATAGACCTGGCCCGTTTTACTAGATCTGTTTGTCCTGTTTTGGGCAGGTCGACATGGGTATTATCATCGGCCCGACCTGCCCCATTCTCGAATCGTTCTCGCTTAAATTGCATGTAATATTAGTCAAATTATTTAAGATTTCCTTTTATTACATCATATTTCAGCTATAATAAAGTTGTAAATTAGTGAAAACCTCAATTACTCCAGTATTTTAACTGCATTTATCATAATATGGTTTGTTTTCTTCGTCGTATAATGAAATTAACGAATATTTCTAATGTATTCCATATAAATTGCATAACCATTGGGTCGACCTGCCCCAACCCGCGATTCATGATAAATTACCCGACCTGCCACCGCCGGGGGGGGAGGGGGGGGGGGATGGGTATCGTGATACCCGTGCCGGACCTGCCCCATTGTCATTCCTAAACTTAACTATAGTCTACAAGTATAATGAAACAAACCAGAAAACTCACAGAGTCACACCACACTGAGAACATGACAAACCACACCACATAACTCATAAAGTTGTCCAGAAGACTCATAAAGCATACTAGAATATGTAGAAAACACACCACAAAAAGTACAAACTCACCGCACCATAGAAACTCATAAAGTATACCAGAAATCTCATAAACCTTACCACAAGTTTTCTAAAACAAACCAGAAAATACATAAAAGCTGACCACAAATATCATGAAGCAAATAAAAAACATGTGAAATCACACCAACTCACATGAAGCACACAAGAAAAACGAGAGATCATACTGGAAACCTCATATAGCTAACAATGAGTTTCCTGAAGCCGACCATAAAAATTATACTAGACCGGAAACACGATAAACTACACGATATATAAAACTTATAGAGTATAACATAAAATGCTAGAAACATACCAGAAAATGTAGAAAATAACAAAGAATCTTACTGCCATTATTATATATCAGAAAGTTCAAATATGCATACCGAAATTGTTTGTGAAAACATACATCCATACATGATTACTCTTTGTCGATGTAGTACTGGTACGAAACAACTACTACAAATAGACTACTATTAATGCAAAAAACAACAATGATTTCCAACAAAAAATAAACAACAACAATGGGTCCATTCTAGTAGAAGATAAAAGTAGATACAATCTCAATACTTAACAGTACACTGGTACTGATATCTTAAATTTTCTGCGATCGTGTTTCATACTTCATATCTCGGGGAATGAATTCTTGATGTGTCATACGTATCCCCACTTTTATTTTGTTTTGCACCACCGCTCCAATATGATACATAACAACATCTCTATGCACTTCATCAATCACTTTTATAACATGATCAATACCAAAGTTTTTTTCCACCCTCCATATGGCCATCACCCACATCTTGCTGCTTAACTCCAAGCATCCAAAACACCTCGTATCAACTTTGACATACAAAGGATCCACTATATATAACATCATCTGGTAGTCGATAGTAATCGTTTTACCCAATGATGCCAAAAATATTGTCATTCAACAACTCATTTATGAGGTTTCGGATCAATGAATGGAACACATTCTGGGAAATACTGAAATTATACGGGACAACCTATAGTCATCAAATTTGATGATGGCCTCGCGACATTAATTAGTTGGAAGGAAGATCTTGCGTATTTACTTCCATTAGTGAATAAGGTTGACTTAACCTCAACATAGTAATCTTTGAAAGGGCAGAGTCGAGATCTTGATGTTTGTTGTTGGTCTTGTGATTCACACATGTCCAATTTGTCTCTTGATTATACCAACAACAGTCTTTTAAAGTCCAATCCAAAGTCATATACAATGTTCAAGTAATTGATCATTGGAATCATGCCTCTAAATTTCGAATATCAAATTCATCAGTCTGCCACTTATCCATGATTTTTACACTATTTTCAAACCTCACCCCAAACAAGGAAGAATATGATGACATATTCGTTTAAGTATCACATGTGAAGCTTGCCTTCTCAAGAAAGCTTGAATATGTGTGCATTTGCTTGAGAGAAAAAAATAATAAGGAGGAAAAGCTTGATTAATTAGGGTTTCAGAACTAAAGTATTGGCCATATATGTCATGAAGCACACCACAAACTCAAGAAGGTACACCAAAAAACACAATGCAACCACAACTCTATTGAAGGAGACCGAAAAGACGAGGCACCACACCATAAACCTCAAGAAGTGAACCCCAAACACTAGAAAAAACACCATAAGCACTAAACACAATGCAAAATACAAATATTTTGGTCCATACCATAAACCTAATGAAGTAGGCCATAGACCTAATGAAAAATATCATACTTATGCGAAACAACACCACAATTCTCATGAAGAAAAAAAAAGACGAGAAATCACATCAAAAACTTCACGAAGCAACCAAAAATACTATAAAGTACACCACAAATGCTAAACACAAAGCAAACCACAAATCTTAACATACCAGGAAGATGAGAATTTCATTTTAAACACAATGAAGCATACCATAAATATGTGAAACCACACCATAAATTAGGGGTGGAAGGAGGTGCTGTTGTGATTAACCGCACCACATTTTGCTGTTAACCACAACCATAAAACACTGATAACACAAACCACACCGCGGTAGTTAGTGGTTAACCACTAATTGCACTGCGGTTTAATTGCGCTGCGGTTTTGAATATACTAAACAAAAAATTTTTTGCATTATATTAATATGTGTCATCTTCTTAATCGGAATATACAAAAGAAAAGTCATGGTTTCATTATAATATTTTTTCATAAACAAGTTCCAAAAGAAAGTTAGTAACAATATAAGTTGCATTCTATTCTATCTTATTTACTTGGAATACTTGAAAATTTTATAAATTAAAATAATAAAATAATTTGTAGATATTGGTGGAAATGAGGATGGGCTCATGGACATAAATGCTCATTTTTCTTTAGACATGGCCTGTGAGAATTGCTGGGTTTGGTAAGTTGTGAATTAAATGTTTATGATATAGTTTGGTTTTTGTGGTTTAACCGCTGTGGTTAGTGGTTAACCACTAATCACAAAAATCATCACTTTGCTAACCACAACTAACCCCTAACCATAAATTGCGATTAGTGGTTAACCAAATCATTTACGGTTCGGTGCGGTTTGCGGATTAACTGCAAACCACACACCAAACTTCCACCCCTACCAGAAATATCATAATTCATACAAGAAATTTCAGGTCGTCTACCTGTAAAGTGTTGTTGTGTTGCATCGGAGGTCAAAATGGGTGACATATTTGAGAGGTGTACCAAATTAGGAGTCCAACAGAGAAGGACATCTCGTGCGTGGAGGAGTAACTTAACTTATGGAGCAAGGTTTTAGGTCGTGAGACTTGACAACAAAGTAAGGTTTTCTATTGACTGGAACTAGAGAGAATGGGATGGATGCTAGAAAATGCAATAGGATTGAAGGTTTCCATGGTAGTCGCAGGTGCGGAGACGTGAGAATCTGATTCGGGCCTAAATGTACACTTTGTATCCCCGTTTCTCTTTGACGTTTGTGGCAATTGAGCTCCAAAAAGGGTGGTTTTACGCTAGGTTGCTTATGTTTCAATGTGTTTCAGAGTCTAACTGGTGAAACCAACCCCGGAGTCGAAAGTTGGAAGAAAATGAGCAAAGGCCGGGCAAAGAGAGGATCTAACCACAGTTCACGATTAAACATTGGAGTTCACGATCGCCATGACCGTGAACAGGAACCACAAACCGTGAACCGCGAAGCGTTCAGAGGGGTTTCAGAGGTTACTGAAGCCAAGGTAGTTCACGGTCGCTATGGACCGTGAACTGGAGCCATGGACCGTAAACCCCAGAAGTGAAGAGGCGCGTTTTGATCAAAGTTCATAGAGTTCACAGACGGGGGCTGATGTACACGACCGTGAACTGTGCGCGATTTGTGTATAAATAGAGAGCTGAAAGGAAGAAGAAAGGGAGAGCCCAAAGTGAGAGAAACTTTATTCTCCTTGAAACCCTAGAGAGAGAAAGCACAAACCAAGAGGGAGAAGAGGCTAGGGTTTGCTCCAAGAGAAGATTTTGGAATTTCCTCTTCAAGAGAGGATCTCTACAAGCACAAGAAGAGTTGGACGCATCACAATGATGGTTTCTTTCTTCATCCTTTGTGTTCTTCCTTTGTCTAGCATGGAGTAGTTTCACTTTTCACTTGGGTGTTGTAGAACCCTAACTACTATAATGTAATTGATTGTGTGATGGTGGTGTTTAATTTAAGAATTGAGGTATTTTTCATGGTGATTGTGCATTGTGTGTGTTTGGAACCAAAATGAGGAAGCGGGAGCCGAGGATGAGCCAAGGACTATGAGCTATTACATGGCTCCACGGGCGACAGATATCCAATCTCCTATCCTAAATCCACCTGTGGCCACCAAAAACTTTGAAATCAAGCCCGCTCTCGTGACGATGATTCAAAATAATTCCTTACTCCACGGGCTTGCCAATGAATCACCGTGAGAGCATGCTCAAAGGTTTCTTGAGATCAAGATAAATGGCATCTCCAAGGAGGCATTGAAACTGAGGCTATTCCCCTATTCTTTGGCGGGGAAGGTGCTCTGATGGCTCAACAAGCGTCCGGCTCGATCCATAACCTCTTGGGATGATTTACTCAACAAGTTCATGACCCGATATTGTCTTCCTTCCAAGACGGCCGAGTGGAGGAAGAAAATCACTCACTTTGAGCAAGAGGAAGATGAGAGGTTGAGGGATGCATGGGAAAGATTCTCCGACTACTTCCTCCAATGACCTCGCCATGGATTCGAGGAGCAATTTCGGGTAGAGACTTTTTATGGAGGGCTCATTCAAGATGACTAGATTCTCATCGACTCTCTTTGCCAAGGGAAGTTGATGAACATGACCCCACCTCAAGTGACCGAGTTGCTTGAAGATATGGCTCTCAAAGGATATGATTGGGGCTTGACAAGGAGTGGGAAGAGAATCACCGAAAGAGGAGTGCAAAGTGTGGGAGCAAGTGCTCCAATTGAAGCAAAGTTTGACAAGTTGATCGGGTGATCCTTGAGGACAAGAAGCAAGGGAAGAGAGCGGTGATGTCTTGTGATTGGTGTTCAAGCACTAATTATGAAATTGCGGATTGCCAAGCGATGAAGGAGATAAGTACCCCCGAGGAGCACGTGAGTTTCATTGTCAATGCTAGAGGGAAAAACCTTTATAGCAACACTTACAACCTCGGGTGGCGCAATCATCCAATTTTCGCTTGGTCTTCCCCTACCAATCCAAGACCTCCAGGCTTTCAAGGTCCAACGGGAAATTATCAACACAAAGGCCTCAATTCCAAAATTCGAACTTCCAACAACCATACCAAGCACAAGGTGGTCAAGGGTTTCAACAAAAACAACAAGTCGACAAGTTCTCTAAACTTGAAGATCTAGTCACCAACTTTGTGAGTACAAGCTCTCAGAAGTTTGAGAAGATTGAGAAATTCATGGATGTGGCAACCTCCAAGTTTACCTCGGTTGAGGCGAGACTCTGAAGTCATCAAGCAAGTCTCCATAACTTGGAAGTGAAAATCAGAAATCTTGTCGGGATCCTCACCAAGAGACCAAAGGGAGCCCTACCCTCTCAAACCATTACAAACCTCAAAGATCACGCCGGGGTGTATGCATTTCATTTGAGAAGTGGGAAGGTGACTCCGGTGGTAGTTGCCAAAGAAATGAATGAGAAGGAAGACCCTCTACCCGAGGGTGGAGAAGAAGAAACCTCGAGAGAAAAGAGAGGAGTGGCGAGGAAAGCATCACCAACGCCATCTTTAGTGGCTGAGTACACGCCACCCCTACCTTTTCTAATGAGGGTGCACAAGGAAAGACTGGAAGCGGAATGTGGAGGTTTAATGGAGATGCTCAGAAAAATCCACCTCAACATTCCCTTCCATGAAGCAATGTCCCACATGCCAAGGTATTCAAAATACCTCAAGGGGCTTCTCTCCAAGAAGCTGAAGTTCGAAGACCTCGCCAATGTCACCCTAAGCGATAGGGCTGGGAAACGGTGTAGTCTGGCCATATATACAGTATGCGGTCTAGACCGAGAGGATAGAATAGAGACCATGGACCAGATCATAAACTATACGGTCTAGACCAGACCACGCCTGTGCGGTGCGGTCCAGTCTAGACCAGCAGACCATGTTCAACGAAACTTGTATTGTTCAATACTACATACCAACTATTAACTAACACAAAAACACATTGACATCTCATCATCACCAACAATAAAGCTCAAAGGTCAACTTAAAAACCAACATAGACTTTGTTACAAAGTACCAACCAACAATTTGAAATCTAAAACCCAACATAACATAACTTAAAATCCATAACATACAACATCCTTAATTCAATAACAATAACTAACAAGTCTTACAATCTACAAACTGCAAGTTCGAACACCACCCTCTCTTAGTCCTTCACAGTTCACACATTTGAAGTTGACCCAACATCATCACTTCCTCCACCAATCTCAAGCTTCTTCTCCACCACAAAGTACATATTACATAACAATTTCTTCTTGCATTTCTCATAATGAAGAGCTAGAGTAGACGTACCAATACTATATGGATCAGCAACAAATACTTGTCCACAAGTGAGGCAACTTGCCTTCTTCTGACCATTTTCAATAAACCTCCTGTACTCTCTCCATATTTTCGAACTCAATTTGCTCCATATACGGAGGTCCTCATCATATTGGAATAATGCAGCAGAAACTAGAGGTGTTACTACTACTGTTGGGGGCGCTTGGGCTATTGCTAGGTGTGGTGCAACAGCGGGTGGTTGTCCCTAAGCTGGAGGAGTCGCCATAAAGCTGAATCTGCATTAGATTCAGTACTAGAATTATCTTGAAATCGGGCTCCTTTACTAGCATGAATGGATAGACATATAATTGCTTGTTAGATGTTGAAATTAGAGTAACACCATTGACCCCCTCCCCTCAATCTTGATATAAGGTCTTTCTTATTGCATTCCAAAATATTAGACCCCCTCCCCTCAACACTCTTATGTTGATACTTGATACAAGGTGAACCAAAAACACATAATAAAAGGATCTATTTCAAGTTATTACCCTAAATCGTCTCTATCTAATGAACTAAATCCAACCCATGAAAACACTTAGGGGTCGTTTGGAGAACGTGATTTAGGGCGTGGATTCATTGAATCCGTAGATTTTGTAGAAAGTTATGTTTTTTGTCGTTTTTTGTATTGTGAATTTTACCTTTAGAAGTTTCAAATCTCTAAAATCTACGGATATCAAATCCCTTATAATCAGAGAGATTCAATATCTTGATTCGTGAAAATTTTTTATCATACGTTTTCTCTTTCTTTTCTTTATTTATCATATTAAATATATTTATCAACAAAGTTTTTAATATTTCTTGAACCACTCTAGTTTTTTTAATAAGGATAAACATATTATTTAATATAAAATTAAAATTTTATTTTCATTGAATGATAACAATCACTGTTACCAAACAATAAATATTTTAAAATCTATTTTCAACAATCTGAAGAGTTAGAATCTTTAGATTGTTGACAATCTATAGATTTTAACTCACATTCTCCAAACGACCCCTTAATGTGTTAACCAATACCTTGGAACGGCAGAGGTCAATGGCGATGGAGCAAACTGAGAACGATGGTGGAGGTCAATAGAAGAGGTCGATGGCAATGGCGGAGTTCGATGGTGAGGAACAGAGAATGTGAGATTGTTGGTTGCATGTTGGAGCGGTCAATGTCACAGATCCATTACGACGATATGGAGAACATATTGCACTTGCTGCTTGGTGGTGGACGTCGAGGACTTACAAAACAGATTGATGGCAATGAAGCTGCTGGATAATCGATGGTGGAGCTCGTGGAAAGTTGAGCATGGATTGAATGATGGACAAGATAGGCAAGATGAGCTAGGTTTTTCCTTCTCAGCTATCACAATTTTGGGGTAGTGGCGACGACTTAAGGAGGTAGGGCTGCAATGTTGGAAGACAAATTGATTAGGGGCTTGACCCTTTGGAGTTGTCAAACTGGGCCTGGGATTACTGTTGCAAGCCCACACTTCATTGGGTCATGGTCTGGACGGTTAACCACAGTTTAGACCAGACCGCAAGTATAAGAGGCAGACCATGGACCAAACCAAATTGTATTCATGGTCTCATGTTCCGGACCAAACCTTACAGTACGGTCTAAACCGTGGTTTGTCATACGGTTTGGTCTAGATTCCCAGCCCTACTAGGCGAGGAGTGCTCAGCCTTCATCCTCAGCAGGTTGCCCAAGAAGCAACCCGATCCAGGTAGTTTCACCATACCTCTTTGCATTGGTACTCATCACATAGAAAATTCCTTGGCGGACTTAGGGGCGAGCATGAATGTGATGTCATTTAAGATTTTTTAAGAGGCTAGACAATGGTGAACTAAAGTCTACGATTCTTAGTGTCACATTGGTCGATTGATCTGTCATTAGTCCTAGGGGTAATGCGGAGGATGTGCTAGTACGAGTGGGGAAATTCTGTTATCCGACGGATTTTGTGATCCTGGATATAAGTGAAGATTCTGAGATGCCACTCATACTAGGACGCCCTTTCCTTGCCACCTCCAAGGCGTTAATTGATGTAAATGCGGGAACTTTGTTTCTGAGGGATGGTGAGGAGAGAATTACTCTTGGAATTGAACCTAAGCCTAGGAGTGAGCATGTGAGGAAAGTGGAACCGGGTGATATGAATGCAAGTGGAGTAGAACCTTTCAAGGTAAATCACACTATTACTTTTGTTCCTTGTGATGATGTGAAGCAGGAAAGCAAAGAGGGCATCTCACCCAAAGAAGGAAGGAAAAGAGCTTGGAGGGAAAGGATGAATCACGCTAATGCCCAGTGGAAGGAAAAGGGCAAAGCGAAAGTCATCTGCCAAGAAGGCCATCCCATAGAGAGTAAGTTGGGAGGCGACATGCATCGTCCCGAGATTGTGGCAGATCCACTCTCGATTGCATCACGTTCAAAGGGGTGATAGATCTGCAACGTCAAGCTAGTGACATTAACTTAGCGCTTGTTGGGAGGCAACCCAACGTAGGTTTGTTTTCTTTTCCTTATTTTCGTTTTTGTGTCGAGTGAAGAGTTCAAGTGGTCGAGTGGTATCCCCGTGCCAGGTTTTTGTGATTGTGTGTTTTGAGTTGTGTCGTGAATGATAGTAGGCACAGTGGAGTAGGTCGAGTTAATTTTTTTTGAAAATGCCTTGTTTCTCACTGCACTTCACGGACGGATTGATATGTTCACTGTCTTAATCGATCGTGAACTTCCAAACGCATCCGTGAACGAGGGTGTTTCCACGTGTTGTCAAACCCACCAGTTTGCCCCAATTCACGGATGGATTGCTATGTTCACGATCTTAGCGCCTGTGAACTGGCAAATGCGTCTGTGAACCTCGGGGTCTGCCTATAAAAGGGCCGTGAACTCTTTCTCTTCATTTCACGACCCAAAACTCGTCGAAAAACCTCGATTTTCCAACGATTTTCGCCCTTTTTGTCAACTTCCAGCGATCCAAATAAAAAACCAATCACAGACCCATTCTCCGCTCATCAAGGGCGGCCTTCGCCAATATTTTGTGGGGATTTGGAGTCATTTTTTCCAGTGAAGTCGCCTCCAGTGAGCTTCCGGTGAGCTTTCGGCAACCCTCCTCCGGCCTTTTTCGGACATTTTTCGCCTCCCTCGCCCTCTCCTCACTTCCCCTACCATCCTACTTGAGTCTCCAGGTTTTTTTTCAACTCTACCTTGGTTAATTTGGGAGAATCGGATTAGGTAGTGAAGTGAGGAAAATTTAGTGAAGTGAATGTTGAACTTAGCAATAGGGCGAGGGATTAGGTGAATTGTGGTGAATGAATGATTGAATGATGTTTTCATGAGCTTTTTTTGAGCATTGGTGGGCATGATTTAATTGGAATTGCTTTTATTTGTGGAATTTTCCCACCAAGTGCTAATTTGTGAGTGAATATGCAATTTTTATGCTTGAGTGGTGGATGGTAGCCACCGTGGCATGGTTTTGGTTAGGATTTTTGTGTGGATAAACATTGAAACACCTAGGACCATGCCTCGGTGTGCTCGAGCTTAATTGTTTTAAGTAGCATGGACCCGTAGTGAAAATATAAGTGTGTGTGGGGGGGGGGGGATTCCGTTTTCCTCCCAATGATTTGAGATTGACAATTATTTCCACGTATGGTGCATGTTTGAATTTATTGCAAGAGAGTCAGCATGAACCACCCCTACCTTTTGGCGCTGAAAGGGAACCCCACAATGGAAAGGGAGCTGAGATTCTGGGCAAGCACTAACTCCGGAGATCACTGGAAACTCGACTTCACTCAATTCGACAGTCTTCACTGTGGAGACATCATGAGGGAGGCTATGGCGCACCCACAATGGCGCCGACTCCTTGAAATGAAGGATGACATTTATGGGGAGTTGTGTGTTGAGTTTTTCAGTACCTTCACAGTCCGTAGGAGCAAGAGCACGTTCAACCATCGGCGGCGCGAGGTGACATTCCACTTGGGAGGGGAATGGCACACCCTGACTTTTGACGAGTTTGCCCGATCCTTGGGAGTTAACGACGGGTATGAGGCATAATGGGAAGAGGACGCCATCAGAGTTTGCAACGTGAATGCAACTTTTCAAAGATTTTTCCTGTCCGAGCCCCGACGAATACCATTTCGTTTTGCACCCATGTTGGCGTCCACACTTAAGCCATAGTGACGCATCATCAACGCACTCCTTGCCTTGCCTGTTCCCACTACCCGAGCTATCACAATCCAAACAAGATAACCGATAGGATCTTGCTGGCATTCGCTTGCATGGTGGACCCATCTAGCAATCTTCATCTTGGTTCAGTCTTGGCCACCTCTTTCGCCAGAGCCATAAGGGGAAATCGACAATATATCACATCAATGGGGCCCTACATTATCCATCACGCTCGTCACTTGAATGTTAATCTGGCGGGCTGCACATATGAGGGGCACTCCACGGGGTTCGAAGAGTGCACTTTGTGTTGCATGTGTTTACTGGGAACATTTGGACCATTTCGGTTCATTGAGGGACTGCCTCTACCACCACGGGTTCCATCTCCAGAGCAGGCACGGCTAGAGCTCTTGGCCGTCGCCAGCGTCGCGCGCTCCAGCGTCCTGCACCATCACTAGCAGTAGCAGCAGCATCATCAGGGTGAGCCGGTCCTTCCACTTCCGGGGCGCACCTCGTGGAGAGGATGGACCGCCTTGAGACCCTTGTAGTATGAGTCACTTCCCGGCTCGACCGTCACACCGACCTGCTAGAGCAGATAACTCGTTGCCAGGGCCTCCTTCCAGATGATGAGTCGGGGCCTTCGAACCAGTGAGAGGTAGCCGACGAGTGAGACATGTGGCAATTCCTTTCACCCCATTTCTCCACTTGTAAATCTGAACTCTTTTATTTTATTTTTCGTTCCTTTATTTGGTATGTGTGAACAACTAACTACTATCGTACAATTATGTGTAATAACCTCGCCTCGAGCGAGTATGTGTTTTGTTTGTGTGTGTGTGTGTGTTTTTTTTTTTTTTTTGTCTTCTCCTTGAAGCTCAAATCTCCTACCTCGGAAAAATTTCAACTTTCATTCACCAAGTAATGTGGTAACATCGTTCTACCCCTATCTTACACCATTGAGGGCAATGTCGAACTTAAGTGTGGAGGGGTAGTTTATTATTATGCTTGTGTGCTTAGATCCCTCTTACCATGTTGAGGTGAATTACGATAGGAACTCATGTTGTGTTTGCCACCACCCAAAAAGCCTTTTCCCTATCTCAAAGACAATTGCCAATCATTTGAACCCGTGTCTAAGACCTCCGCACAAGCTAGTGATGAAAACCGTCCCGTGAACTCTAACATTTAGAGGTTGACACTGTGGGGAAGAGAAGATAGAGTCGAGTGTTGATGATTGTGCACATTCTTTGCACCAAAAGATCCCGAACCTACTGGTCAAGAGAGTGAGTGATTCGTTCTTGTTTTTCATGTCATATCATACCCCGGTGAGGATTTTGTTGTCCATTCGTTTGTTCCTTGGACTTGAATGTTATGCATGATTAGTTGTGGTTGATACGTGATCTTGTTGAGACTTGCATTGATTCATGAACAATGTGATAACTTGCCCATTTTTGTGACCTCGATTGTCGTTTGTGGTGGATGTCGGTATTGCTTGCAACGGTCCACGTGTTAATTGCCAATAGCCAATGAGATTTGCACTTTGTTCCCTTTGATTTGCCCCCAAAGCATTTTGTTAGATTGAGATATTACCTTGTGTGAAATGGTTTGCTTGGGGACAAGCAAACGTCTAAGTGTGGGGGAGTGATTCGAGCCTAAATGTACATTTTTTATCCCCGTTTCTCTTTGACGTTTGTGGCAATTGAGCTCCAAAAAGGATGGTTTTACGAAAGTTGGAAGAAAATAAGCAAAGACTGGGCAACAAGGAGGATTCAGCCACATTTCACGGTCAAACATTGGAGTTCACGGTCGCTAGGGCTGTGAACTGCGAAGCGTCCAGAGGGGTTTCAGAGGTTACTGACGCCAAAGTAGTTCACGGTCACTAAGACCGTGAACTGGATCCATGGACCGTGAACCCCAAAAGTGAAGCGGCGCGTTTTGATCAAGTTCGCAGATTTCAGGGACGCGACCTGATGTTCACGGCGGTGAACTGGGCGCGATTTGAGTATAAATAGAGAGCTGAAAGGAAGAAGAAAGTGAGAGCTCAAAGTGAGAGAAACCTTCTTCTTCTTGAAACCCTAGAGAGAGAAAGCACGAACCAAGAGGGAGAAGAGGCTAGGGTTTGCTTTTGGAAGTTCCTCTTCAAGAGAGGATCTCTACAAGCACAAGGAGAGTTGGACGCATCACAATGATGGTTTCTTTCTTCATCCTTTGTGTTCTTTCTTTGTCTGGCATGGAGTAGTTTCCATTTTCACTTGGGTGTTGTAGAACCCTAACTACTATCATGTAATTGATTGTGTGGATTGAATGATTGTGTGATTGTGGTGTTTAATTTAAGAATTGAGGTATTTTTCATGGTGATTGTGCATTGTGTGTGCTTGGAAATTTATTGTGCTATTCTAACCTAGATTAGAGAGAAGCCCCCTTTTCTTAAGAGGCTCAAAATTGAGCTGGGTTTCTTAGGCATTCCACGCCTCCTAACTAGGTCAATGAAGGGAAAATCTCTAATTGATTTAGACACCTAGGTTAGTTGTGATTATGCCGTCCAAACTTTGGTTTTAGGGAGAAGGTAAATCATCCCTCAATTGCTTGAGCCAAGAGGGCTACAAATGCTTACCTTGGCCTAGCAATTGAGAGGATGGTTTCTAACCATTATTGCACATCCTACGGGTCACAATTGCCTTGTCACACACCGGTTCATTCGATCCCACGGTTCATGGTAGTTATTTAGGGGGAAGCAACACTCGAGTGAAGCTTCTCACCAAGAGTTTTCCACCCTTTTGCTTTTCAAATCTTGCTTTTAAATAGTAGATTGTAGAGATTTCAACAAACAAAATTCCGTTAAATAATGTTTCAAACAACCGAAGTAGGGGTACATGGGCCGGGCCGAGTTGATATTTAAACATACTCAACATTCCTCTAAATAATGTTTCAAACAATCGAAGTAGGGGTACATGGGCCGGGCCGAGTTGATATTTAAACATACTTGCCCTATATTGCACTCATCTAAGGTTTATACTTGGGCCTTAGGTGGAATTTTATGGTGATAGTCAGAGCGAGTCAGAAGCTGATCTCTGTTATTATCGCGACAAGGGAGAGAAATCAATGCAAAAGCCCTTCTTTTGGACAGTTATTTGAACAGTATCGTCTAACCGTCGTTAGATCTACATTGGTTAGAAAGACCATTGAATAGAAACATTATACTAAAAAGGCCAAACAAAATGAACACCTAGGAAGAAGAGGCCATATGCATATAAATGCATGAGACTTTTATCTTCTACGACTCCTAAGTGATAAAAGAAAGAGGAGCTCATCTTGTTTCTTTTTTTATTACCTTCCTCACATGTGTATAAGACTGAATCCATTCGATTTCTAAACAAGAAAAAAATTGGAACAAAAATATTATTTGCTTCATCGATCCCAATAAAAGAAATCATTTAAGCTGTTAGGATTATAACTTTTTTTACGATATATGCAAATTTTTTCTTTTTTATTTTCTTTATTTGATTTCTGGTTGTGTTGTTTTAGCAAATTTATTTGGCGACGTCAGGGATTAACTCTACAAGCATTCGTTTTTTTTAATCTATCAGAGATTTTCTAAAATGGGCTTTCTAAAGACCCCCAAGGATCAATTCGAGGACGTAAAAAGGAAAATTTTTTTTTTCTATCAATTTCTCTTCAATCCAGGAAAAATAAGTAATTTCTGTTGGGCTTTTATACTTTTTAGGTTGATTAGGTTTTTGGGGGGTTGAAAGTAATTAAAAAATTACGTACTGATTAAAAAATTCAGGTCAAATGACACGCCATTGATTAATACCTCGATCGTAGAATAATCAAACTCAACAAAGTTAACAGAGAAAAGTTCGTACTATAATTATAATATTGAATACTTTAGGATGTAATTAAAAAATGGCTTAATTCACCTACATAGCCATAACTTTCGCGTTAGTGACAATAATAGCCACTTTTCAAAAAATATACAGATGAAGCCACATTTTTAAAACTTGTTTGATAAATTTAGCAATTTCCGTCAAATTCTTTAACACAGTCAACGACCTGTTAATTAAACAAATTTTAGACTGATGTGGATGCCACATGTCATTTCCACTTAATTTATCATGCCACGTGGATACCACATCACATTTTAAATTAAAAAAAAATCTAATGCACCTATACTATACGCCGCCGCTGCCAGCAAATAAATTCCCTCCGCCATGAAACCTAATTTTCGCTTCTGTTCTTCATTCATCTTGCTCTTCCAAAATCCCGCTTTCGTTCTTCCCTCTAGCGGCGGACTGGACGTAGTACTGCCGATACCTTTGCAATTTGAATATCAATAAGGCCAATTTGGAACCTACAGAGGATTGTACTTTGCAGTCGGCATAGCCATGTACGAGCCAAGTTTGGAGACAGAGCCAACATAACTCGAAGTCCCAAAGCGGGACACATTTCATTCGCATACAACTGGCGTTCTTTTCAATCAGTTTCAAGCAATTTGGGGAGGGCTTCGTGTATGCATTCTTCTAATTCTCGTTCGCCGATTCCAAATCGTTTTTCGCGATCCAGTTCTTCGTGGTGCTGCAATTGATGTCACATACTAACCGATGGCAAACTCGACGGATGGCTGCGAGGAGGTGGGTGTTGACGAACCGGCGGCGAAGGGGCGAATGGCGGCGGGAAGCATCTTCGAGTTGGAGAGATTCTCCATTCTTTCTCACTGCCGCTGGCAAAAAATCCCCTTTACGCCCAAAACCCTAATTTCTTAGAGGGATTTTGTTGATGTATATGGGCTTGGGCCCAATTCCCCTCGCGTAATATCGGCTTTGGAGGGTTTGGTGGTTGGTCGAGTGCCTATATAGGGTTAGAGACCCTAGCTCTATAAATGTGTATGTAAACAGTATGCTGAAGTTAAGCTGAATAAGAGGAACAATAGCTTCGGCCATGGACTAGTCTTGTTCATACTGAACTGAAAAACCACGTAAATCTGTGTGTTGATTTCTGTTTTGATATTACGTATTGTCTAACATGGTATCAGAGCCTATGTCGTCTAATCAAATTACTGCTCGTTTGAAATCCAAGAATTATGCGATATGGGAGTTTCAGTTTTGCACTCTGATTGAAGGGAAAGGGTTTCTTGGTTGGCACGACCATTTGACCTGTGGCAACAGAAGCAGAGGCGCTCAAACAATGGGTTCTTAAAGATGCAAAGGTTCGGATGATGCTCCTTAATTCTGTTGATGCATCAATTATATTGGGTCTTTGTATGTTACCTACAGCTGCTGCAATGTGGAAGTACATGGCGAATACGTATAAGACAGTCGGGGCTTCTCGACAATATGAGGTCGAGGTCGAGCTTGCAGCCTTGTTTCAGGGCAATATGTATGTAATTTCGTACTACTACGCCGCTTGCAACATGTGGACCGAGCAAGCCATGATCATTGCAAGCTTGCTCACTACGGCGGGAATGCAGGAGGTCAAGGCGGAGCGGGAGAAGATCTGTCTTGTACAGTTCCTAATGCGTCTCAACCCGGAGTTTGAGACGATCCGAGCATCCCTCCTGAACCGCGAGAATCTTCGCATTGATGGTGTTTTAGGTTCCCTAATCCAGGAAGAGATGCGACTCTTTGGGGGATTTGATGACTCGAAATTTGCACATGTTTTCTCCTTTGTTTCTTGATCGTTTAAGCTTGCATTATCGCTTCTTTGGCCTATTTTATTCTAGTTTGTGTTCCTTTGTCACATTTCAGGTCCTAGCATGTAAATTGAAGCATAGGCGCAAGTTTGAAGTCAATCGGAGATCATTCGGCAATTCGGGAGAAGAAACACGAGCATGACCTAAGGAATAATGGACTTCTACCTCATATTATGGACAAATAATCATGGAATTTGTCATGAAAAGAAGATGACGAGACTACGAGCGTCTGGGATCAAACGGCGACTGATTCGGAGTCCGGACGAGGGAGAAACGAAGCATTAAACAGAGGCTGAGCAAGCCACACGGGCACGCCTAAAAACCCACACGGCCGTGTGACCTGGCCATGTGGCCGTGTGGAAATCACCGAGCCCTCACACGGGCATCTGGGAAATTCACACGGCCATGTGGCTTGGCCGTGTGATCAGGAATTTCTGGTTAAAACCCGATTTTCAGCAAAAGGAGAGGGGAGAGCGGGGTTTTGGTTCCCAAACACCCAAGGGACGAACCCTAGAGAGAGAGAGAGAGCAACTTGGGAACATTCTTGGAGCTATTTTGGAGGATTTCTTCGCCATTGGAGCTCGGGAATCAAGCTTGGAGATGGAGATTGAAGATCTAGATTAGATTTCTGCAGTCTCTCTCTTCTCTATGGAGTAACTTCCCTTCACTTAGGTTTTGAGGAACCCTAGTTCCATGTGTTAGGATATTTCTTGTATGAAGTTTTGGATGCTATATTGTTTGATTATAATCGATTGAGGCATGATTTATAGAGTCAATTGAAGCCTGATCATCTTCTCTTGATTTCTGCTTTAACATATGATAGATAGAATCTGATTAGGTTAAGAGAGCTTCCTTGATTGATAGTGGTGAATTGGTTGTGCGAGAGTCAATCAATTCACTGCTTTGTACTGGAATTCATTCCAGTAGTGGAGATCTGTGTGAATCGCCTTAGCAGTCTATCCCGATGAAGGCTAGTCGCCTGCCGGGTATTCTGTCTAAGAGGGTTTGGTCAGCTTAAGAGATTCCAAGCTAATTTAGGATCTTCCGCAGTTTAATCAACAGTAGATCAACCAAAAGTAATTGCAACTTGGACCTAATTGAGGAGCTAGGTGGAATCATACCTAAGTGAGTTCCCAACTTGTAATTAGTAGAGTAGTCAGTAGAGTAGTTTATAAATCAATCCTTAATCTAGTTTGCTAGATAATGAACTGAAGCGGAGTAATAGTAACTCTAGAGACCCGTGGATTCAATATTTATTACTTGTGCCACTATACTGCAGTCCCTTTCATTGGTTACACTTGGCCATTGTTAGGTGTTGTGTTTTAGCGTGTCAACCACCCAAAGAACTATCACATGTCCTAGCAGCTCAAAGTCTGAAATCAAAGCAAGGACAAAAATCCTTGTCAGGTCATCTCAAGTATCGATATTTGGGTAAGGATTTCAATCTTCCTGTTATTATTCCTTCTTCACTAACATCGAAACAGGAAGAGTACTTGCTTGAGGCGCTGCAATACCACCTACGCCTCACTAAAGGGTCCAAAATGCCAGCTAAGAAGGTCATACCAAATTTTCGCACACCTGGCCCTGCCGAGGTGACTCATATGTTGGATGGAGGTTATGAGTTCTATCATTGCTCGGGAGGGTATCCTGGATACCTTTCCATACCCATTGGTTGAAAGCTCCATGAACGTCATGTTGAGGACGTTAAACAAGCGCTTCTTGGGAGGCAACCCAAGGTGAGTTTTCTTTACTTTATTTTTTCTTTTTTGTTGTGTCAAACTCGTGCATGTTTAGATTAGGAGTTGAACATTAGGGACAATGTTCCATCCTGAGTGTGGGGTGGTGAGTCGTAGTGTTGTTTGTCCCTGTTGCATGTGGTAAAACAAAAAAAACTGTCATTTGGCTCTGCACAACCAAACTGCATACAATCTACCTGTGCTGGTGCAGTCTGCCTGTGCTAACCTAATGGCTACAAAAGCACCTAAAAATCAGAAAAAATTAAAAACATAATATTTTACTCTTGTGGTAACATGATGTAAATGACTGTGATGCGTTTAAAATGAGTTTGTGATTGGATGAAATCATCAAAATCACCCCCACTAGTGTTGAATTGCATAGTTCTTCACAATGAGCTTGATGTTTTGACTGACTTTATATGCTTTGAATAAGCAAACTCTTTTAGCAACATTCTCTTTTGTGGGGATAGTGTAATGACTTTTGGTGAAGTAGTTAGGTGGAGAGGTTGACCATTCGACATGTTTGGATACCGTGCTTACTAGCATCTGTTGTGAGCTTTT